CATCCCACACTCTAGCAATAAAGCAACTTCATTAAACTCTTCCATTATCCCTTTTGAGCCTGCCATACGTGTCCTGTCAGGACACTGACAGTTATACCTGTAGGTGCCAGTCAGGACGTGAACTTAGGTCAGCCTAAATCTATAGTCTTGATCTCATCGTGACGTCTCAAAATTGCAATTGATCTTATACGTCATTTAGTCTAAACCCTCAATCTTTACTTGCTACAAAATCTTAAGAATGTGGTTGTATAGTCTATACCTAAATACATCGAGTGTAAACCATTCTGCCTTTGCAGCATCCTAACCATTAAAATTTCTTCCATATCCTAAGCTAAAGTTTATCTCCCTCTGTTTTTTGGCCATTGAGTCTATTACTTGCAGCCATATGCACTGGTTTCTATATCCCTTTAAACACTGAAGACAGCTATCATGAACCTCCCAAGCCATCTCTTTTTCCAGGTTCAACAGTTCCAGTTGCTTTACCATATTTAAATAGGAGATAGCTTCCAACCTTTTAGTATGGAAGATACATTTTAGTCTGCCTACCCATGCCTTCTTTTCTGAGAAACGATGAAGAGGAGGGCCTAGTCTTTTTATCTGCATGACTCTCACCCCTGCCACAGCTGTCTGGATGAGAGGTGGATCCTTGATCCAGTCTGACCCAGTTGAATTTTTTCTCCCTGGAATTTAGAAATGGTACTTAACAGTTCTGGTTTTAGACAGTGTTGGCTATTGGAGCCTAGACATCCGTTAGGTAGTTGAGAGTTTCAGCTATGTACTTCTTAAAGCAAAGAGAGCACATCTACAAAAAGAGAAACAAATGAGGTTCACACACGGAAAAGCAAGCCCAAGAAACCATTTTACACCAGAGACTAAAGAAGTGTGGTGGTTTTGTGCTGTGTCAACTTAGCTAAACTGGAAACATATTTCACATAATTCCCTCCCTGCATGGTCCTGAGTGAGAGTTGGCCACGAGAGAAACTTGATAAGATTTGGGAGTCAGAAGTGAGGTGGAGTAGATGACACTCTGAAGGACATCCCTGATGAAGGACGGTAAGGGAGAGACTCAGAGGTGCTGGTGGTTTGCAAGTCACCCTGGCTTTTTCCTGCTCCGCATCCAGCTCACTTTCCTGACTGCCAACCTTGATGGTCAACACGGATTCCAGGCCCATCACCAACTGCTTCACTGCAAATTCACAGAGGCAGGAACGAAGCCACAAGGAGCCACAACTTGTCATGGACTCCTACAGCTGCCCCTTTGCAATTGTTCTCCATCAGCTGATGGAGCCCAGTTTCTGGAACCCCAACATATTTGATCATACCCGGGCTAGTTAGTGACTTGTCTCTCACCCATTTTGGATCTTTACTTCCTCAGATCCTCCCACAATTATGTAGAGTCTAATTTCTAGAATAGATTCCTCACTCTCTAATGCTCAAGTTCAACTTCCCTGATTAAACCCAAACTGATACAGGGCTTATGTTTGTCTTGTGACTTCCCAGTTGTTGACCTGAGTCTTCGTGACACGTAGCTGTCCTTCCTACCTTTGGATTCTGTGAGATTTCCCAGGAATAAACCATTTCCAACCCATTTGGTAATTTTGGCTATACCTTGATTTTAGACAAGTCACATGGAGATTCCTAAAGCAGTGAGAAATAAAATATTGGAGCACAAAGAATATAGTTATAGAGTTTTTATCAAGAGATCATAAAATTACCTCAAATAACATCTCACTGATGGAATCGCAGAGGGAAACACCAAAAACTTTTCTGCTGAGCAGGCCACCAGAATGGACTGTCCTGGGTCACTGAAGTTCTAGACTCTAGACCAATGTTTCTCAACCATTTTTTTCATAATTGCTTCCCTAAGGAGCCTTTTTAGACATTTTTTTTTCCTAATTGCCCTCTACCACAAAATTTTAATGCCACATATATACTGACATATGTACTGTATGTAAAGTATATCTGATCTATAGAGAGAGATATAAAGATTTTTTTCACCCCTCGAAAACCAGTTTTACCCTCATTGAGAATGTATGTTCTCAACCCAGATCTTGCTACGTTTTCTTAAGTTGTTACCACTTCTGAGTCTTAGCTTCTTCTTTGCAAGCTCACCAGGAAGCATGAGATTATCCTCAAGATTCCTCCAATGTTCTGTCCCTCCACAGATACTGTCTCATCAATGAACTTGCCTTTTGACCCACATACAGCCTTTGGTTGCACCTCTGTGAGGGGTATACACTGAAAAATTGCCAGTAAAATGAGCACAAAGATGAACTACATTTTTCCTTAATCTGGCATCAACTGCTTTTGAGTCCCCAGTCAGCCTAAAGCTGACAGCTTAGTTTATTCCATTCTCAGGTCAGTCAGTCTTAGGATTTATCACCATCAGTTACCTCGGCGTTCAAAGCCCTTTCTCCTCTCTTGGACCCCACAGGGATTAGAAGCATCCACATTAAACAAGAGGGAAAGGGTGTGGCCTGCTCTCTACCCTTCCACTCCTGGGTCAGTGCCCAGCTCCCAGGTAACACCTTCAGCAGGGCCCAGAGGGAACAGTCTCCTTCTCAGCCACGGCTTCCTTTTCCTTCAGTTACTGGCAGGACTGAACTGTTGAGGTTGGCACAGCTTGCTCTCTCACCCAGACAGAGTCAAATGCTGGCTCTGGCGTGTAGCACACACCGTGGTCTGCTGGTGCCCATCTGGGCGTCTCTCACATGCATACTTCTGGTGTCCCCCTCACTATCGGGCAGAAGAAACAAGCTGGCCCATGCTCACAGCTGCAGTCTCGGGTTTATGCAGGCTTCAGGGATTCTAGGAAGCTCTGACACGGCAAACTTTAAAGCCAAGGGAAAACAAGGCAGGGACCCTCTTGACTCCTTCCCGTCTGCGTTGTTTTCTGCCACTTAGCAAACACCATAGCAGAAGCAGCTACCAGTTGATCCCCTCCATTCAGAAACATCACTAACCTCTCAGGGAGGAGCGCCAGCCCTTTGTTGAGAGGCAGAGTGAGCACATAAGACTCCACCCAGGGAGGATAAAGCCCTCACAAACTCCCTTTTCAACTCTTTTTCTCCCACACCACATCTCCTGATGGAATAGTCTAGCCGGGTAGGGGGATTTATTTTTAACTACATGATTTTTCTCCTCTGTAATCCAGCACTTTCCACTTGTCCAGCAGGTGGAGGATAAGGAACCAGTCAGCGACCTTTAGCAAAAATTGTGATGTATATACAACATTAGGATTTGTGATTCCTGTCTTTTCTGTTTTCTGCCCTATGCTCCCAGGCCCTGGAAGCAGAGAATTTACAGTTTAACACTTCATACTGAGTTGTGCTTATCTACTTCCTCCACATCTGTATCTCTTCCTGTGTCCTCTCTCTAAATTAATGGTGTAATTATCCACCCAATTTCACCCAATTCAGAATAGAGGGATTATCCTGGGTGCCTCCCTCTTCTTTATCAGCTATAGTCAATCAGCCATTAAATCCTGTAAATTCCTCCTCACCGATATATCTCTGTCATAAACTCCCTCTTTGTCCCTCTTCTGTCTTAATGCCAGCCTTCACCTTTTGCTTGAACAATTGCAATAAATTACTAATTTCATTCCCAGTCAGTGAAATCTCTCCCCACCCCACACTGATCATTTCTTCCCCACAAAATGACCAGGTAACTCTGCTGCCTCAAAATATTTGACATCTGTGGAAACAATATAAGCCCCATGCTTGAGAAAAGAAAATATGAAATGAGAAATTTTTCTTCCTTTATGAAGACAGTGAGCTTTAATTAATAAGAATCTCGAAGCGAATGACTTAGACTTAAGAAAGTATTTTGTTTATCACCGCGGGAGCTAAACAGAGAACCTATTTGCTAGCTAATCAAATTGGGTTAAGATCTAAAGTGAGATTAAATTGATCATGCTCGATCTATTCACTATCTTTAGCGACAGACTCGTCTACAGTGTTTTCCTGCCCTTTGCAGAGGAATGAAATAAGAACTGTGTTGCTGCCAGATTGTTTTATTGCTCACATAAAACGCAAACCTTTATGTCTGTCAAGATTTACATGGTTACAGAATTATCATAAATCCCAATTAACAATAGCTTAGGAGATAAGGTTCATAAATTTTACACGTCGTTAATCACCTTTATCTAAAACAGCACCCCTCTAGGGCTTTACCCAGCTTGACTTTCCTTCCAAGTACTTATCACCGCCCAACCTTGTGTCCGTTTTCTTGTCTCCAACACAAAGTAAACGCCAGAAGGGCAATTTTGCCAATACAACGACCCTACACGTGTTTTATTTATTTGTATACGTCCCTAGGACAGTGCTTGGCAAAAGGGAGCCTCCGCAAATATTTAATGCGTAAAAGAGAGGGAAAGAAAGAACAAAAACCTCCCTCGGGTAGCCGAGAAATGGCTCTCACTTTACAAATTCCGTGCAAGGGAAACAGGTGCACCGTGCTCAGCACAGCCCGGGGAGGGGGCCGCCCGTGCACCAGCCTTGCACCCCAAACACACGCGCACTCGGGCGTGGAAGGGTGCTGGGGAGGTCACGGAGCTCCAAGGATGCGGCCCGGTGACCTTCACCGGCCGACCTTCAGCATCAGACCCGAGAAGCCGGTTGGCCCCGGTCTCGAACTGTTCATCTCGCCAGACATTCCTGACAAGGCACAAAAAGGCGACAAGACGAAAGGAACACGGCGACAGAATAAATCTTAACTCGCACGCTATCCTCTTTCAATTTTCAAATAACCTTTGTAACTGCTGCAAGTGAAACTGTCGAGACCAAAAACAAGGACGAGATCCGTTACCCATCGCTAATAGGGCCGAAACACCTTCGCTGCCCGCACCCAAAATGGACGTCCACTGTGACGCTCCCAACAATCCTCCCCCGGCCCCGCCCCTCCAGCACGGAACCCCTCCTCCCTCCTGTGCCCGCCCTTCCGGCAGGGATCTGCTCATGATTGGCTGCTGGTGGGGGGGTGGGGTCCTGCGCTTCGCCGGATGTTACGTCACACAGTGAGCGGGAGGGTCTGCGCGCGCGCAGATGGTAAGCAGTAGGTGGAGGGTCGAGGGAGCTGTAAGCGTCTGCGCTTCGTGGGCCCGGAAGGGGAACTGCGCGGTCGCGGGGACCGGGGCCTGAGGTACGGCTCCCCGGGGCCCACGGGCCCCCGAGCACCGCCGTCTTCCAGGCTGCCGCCGCGCGGGGCCCTAGGCGCCTCTGCGGAGGGCAGGCAGTGGCGGCGCTCCCGGCCGCATCGCGGCCTGGTGGCGCGTCAGGGTCGTCATCCTACGGGTAACCGGGCAGCGGGGCGGCGCGGCGGCGCCCGCGGGCCGGGAGGAGGCTCGGCTCGCTGTCCGCTTCCCGCTTCCCCGGGCCGCGAGTGCTGAGTCACACCGGCCGTGTCGCCGCCCTGCAGAGGGGGCGCGCTGGAGGCGGGGTCGGTGGCGAACGGGCTGCCTGGGTCTGGCGGCGGGGCCGGTGGCGAGCGGGCTGCCTGGGGGCTGGCGGCGGGGCCGGTGGCGAGCGGGCTGCCTGGGGGCTGGCGGCGGGGCCGGTGGCGAGCGGGCTGCCTGGGGGCTGGCGGCGGGGCCGGTGGCGAGTGGGCTGCCTGAGTCTGGCGGCGGGGCCGGTGGCGAGCGGGCTGCCTGGGCATGGAGGCGGGGCCGGTGGCGAACGGGCTGCCTGGGGGCGGAGGCGGGGTCCTTGTCGGAGTCTGGGGGGCCTGGTGTCCCGCGCATCAGCTCCCAGAATCCTCTTGGGTCGGCAGTCGTTCCCACTGCAACTGAGGCACCCGGCTCTCAGGTCAGGTCAGACCCTGGTAGAGGCGAGATGCGAGCTGGGCCCCTGCGCAGTGGGTGTGCCCAGGTCTGAGATGATGTAAGGGCAGGAAAGTGCTGGAAGGACTCGCTGTTCCCCCAAAGGACAATGGCCCGTGTCCACGCCTCGCAGAGCCGGAAGGACGCTCAGATAGGTCTTTTTAAGCAGGAATTCTTAGCTTTTGGGTGCCAGTTAAAATGCCCATTCCCGTGTCCGTTCCTAGACGTTGAATCATTAGGACCAGAGTAAGACCCAGGAATATGCATTTTAAGATGCATCCAGGGGCTTCATTACCTCGTATATTTTTATGTCATATCTTGACGGGGTGTGATATTTGGCACGTTTAGCAGGAGTTTATGGTCTTTGGTTTCCATCAATGTCTCAGCCTTGCAATGCAGTGTGTCCTCAAAGAGTTACTCATGTCTTCCTGGGATGACATTTTTCCTCTGCTCAAGAGTTGGAGAGGCATCTTTTAAATTTTACTGTTGAATGCTGGTATAAATTTTAAGCCAAAGCCACATTTGTAAAAGCCAGCACCCTCGCTGTACTTCTCTTAAGATCTCAGCATCCACTCTGTGTTAGACACGTGTCACACAGAGTCCTAATTCTTGTTACTGTTCGAACTGGCTTTATACCTGTTTTGGTGACCCTTCCTAAACTGGGTTCTGCTGCGGGATGGATTTCTTGAATTACCAAGGGACAAGCAGAGGATTTGTCATTAACGTTTAAACAGGTCACTTTATTCCACCTTTTCTACTGAAAGATGATTGGCCTGTTCTTGTCTCTGGATCCTCTTTCTCCTTCCCTGAGTTGGTTAATGTGTTATTTTGTCTCTGTCTAACCAGCATTTCAGATCTGCTTGGTGAACCTGGTGCACCACCATGCTGGCCGCGAGACTCGTATGTCTTCGGACGCTCCCTTCCAGGGTTTTCCACCCAGCTTTCACCAGGGCCTCCCCTGTTGTGAAGAATTCCATCACAAAGAATCAATGGCTCCTAACACCCAGCAGGGTAAAGATAATCTGTCTGTGTCTGTGTCTTGTCTGTCTGTCTGCCTCACCCCCCTCCCCCTCTCCCTCCCTCCCTCCCTCTCTCCCTCTCTCCCTCTCTCCTTCTCTCCTTCTCTCCTTCCCCCTTCTCCCCTCCCCCCCTCTTTCTCTCCCTCCCTCTCTCCCCCTCTCTCCTTCCCCCTTCTCCCCTCCCCCCCTCTTTCTCTCCCTCCCTCTCTCCCTCCTTCCCTCTCTCCCTCTCTCCCTCCTTCCCTCCCCCCCCAAGCCATTTGTTTGACAGAGTGATTTACTGAAACAGTTATCTGTGATAATGTCCCACATCAGCTCCTTCTTCCCGTTAGTTTTGTATCATTCTGTTCCATCCTTATCGTATCACTTGTGAAGGAGAAAAAGAACTCCTGTAACTTTTTCTTTACTCACAGCTCTTAGAGTTTCTCATTCAGAGTTTAGAGTAATTTGTGAGGGGTTGAGTGCGGAGTGATACACCGGAGAGATGGTGGAGCCTATAGTCGAAAGCTGAAGAACCCAGGAATATTATTACCAGTTGATCAGTAGCTTATTAGTTAGGTACTGAATAGGTCATTTCAGCTCTTGTTTAGAGAATGGCAAAATAAAATGTCTGATTAAGTTCCTTTTATAATAGATTTCTCCGCTAGCCTTCAAATTAGGAGCATAAAGTTTGAAATGTGAGGTTGATGAGCTACAAGAGACAACTGTTTTCCTCTTAACTGTTCCACTGTTGAAAAAGAAGTGAAATAGAGGTCGTAGTCATCCCTCCCTTTGGAGGATGTGTTAGGGAAAGAGACTTTTCTTGAGCTCTTTTCCCAGACAAAAAAATGTGACTAATGCTTATCAAATACATGTTTTTAAAAAGTTAACGTTTAAAATATAATTCTAGAGATAAAAATAAAATCTGTAGTTTATGAAATAAACAGTTATTTTGAAACTTAAACTAAGAAGTTAAGCTGTAATGAATTAACAAACTCCTTTGAAGATAGAGCACAGATAGGGTCTACCTATACTTTTTTAGATCAGCTAACATACTTTCATAGTGAAATTACATACATAGAAAGTACCAAATTACTTTATACATGGTTTTCTAGTATATCAAGATCCTCTGTTTTATCTTATTGTTAACATTTCTGTTTTGGTGTGGGTGGCGTGTGTCTTTGTTTTCATGTGTGTCAGGAATATGCCACCAGAACAAGAATTGGGATCCGGCGTGGGAAGACTGGCCAAGAACTCAAGGAGGCGGCGATGGAACCGTCGATGGAAAAAATATTTAAAAGTAGGTGGCAAGGTGCCTTGTCAGTGTAGTAGGTAGCGCCTCAGTCTCATAAAAGTAGGTGGCAGCCTGCAGTTCTTAAACTGGAGTGAGTGGGTATGTTTTAAGAGGTCCCTGAGCAGCCTCCTAAAATATACGCAAACTTGTGTATTAGTGCATTTTCCAGAAAGAGATTCTAAAAGATACAACCTGTTAAGGAGGTTCATTAAAGTTGCATAGGATCTTCATTCAGGCATATGATAATTGTGTATGTTTCAGGTCAAGAGTAAATCACCAAAACATAGATGCTGATAAAGGCCTAGATGTTGAAGAAGGGCCCTCTCCACTGACTGCCCACAGAGGACCTCTCAGAAGGCAGTACCCTAGTGAAGTCTGTTTGGTTCAGTTTGGATTTCAGCTTTCCGAATTCAGAAATTAGATTGTTAATCTACCCAGAGCCAGGCCAAGAGCCCTGCTGCTCCTTAAGCACCTTGCAGAGTCTCCGTTTCTCATAATGGTAGAGAGCCCTAATCCATATCCCTCAAGGCGTTTCTTTCTGGTTACTAAATTGGCCCTCTAAACCAAATTATGAATCAGACAGCAAGAGCATAGTAACGTTCTTGGTGAACAGATTAGACTAAAGGGAGTAAAATGTTCTATGAATACCTCCCTCTAGTTCCAGTCCATAAGCTATTTCTTTCTTGGTACGCCAAAACAAGAGCACCTCCCTTGACTCTGCTGCGTAAACACTGATGACGTTTTTTTCTTCAGTTCCTTTTTTCCTTGACTCCATGTAAAGCGTCGTCTTTGTCAGTGGCACTTTAGACACAGTGTGGGATGACTTAACAGTTCTTTCTCGTCTTTACTTTCTACGACTGTCAGGAGAACACACCCCAGACTTTTATGAGTAAAGTAACATGTATCACAGAAGTATCCTCCCATCCACAGATATACTGCCTCCTCAAATTTTACTGGAGTAATTGTAGGTTAATCAGGCCTGATCCTTTTTCTGCTATTATTACACCTACGTTTCAGCCGTGACCTTTTTTATTTGTCACCTAATTTTGAGACAATTTCTATATCCCTGTAAGTACTAATTATAGCTGTTACAAAGAAGTGTGGGATGTGGTTTGATTTACCATCAGCATTTTAATTTAGTCAAGACATGACGGTGTTAACGTGCGCTTCCTCCTGTGTCCTGCAGTTGATCAGATGGGAAGATGGTTTGTTGCTGGAGGGGCTGCCGTTGGTCTTGGAGCGTTGTGCTACTATGGCTTGGGAATGTCTAATGAGCTTGGAGCCATTGAAAAGGCTGTGTAAGTAAATTGCTCCCGAACAATTCCAGCCTTAAAGGTTCCAATTTTCTTCCTGTCCTTATCTTTTGCCACTGTTAGACTTTTAGAATGTTTTATGTGTAGTCTTCTAACTGTGTAGCAGTATACGTGAATAAAAATAGACTCTTATTTTGTACATATACAAATGGAATACTACTCAGCCATAAAAAAGACAAAATCGTGCCATTTTCGATGACATGGATGGACCTTGAGGGTATACTAAGCGAAGTAAGTCAGCTGGAGAAAGATAAACACCACATGGTTTCACTCGATGTGGAAGATAAATAGAGATAAACAGAACAGATTAAGAGTTACAAGAGGGGAAGGGGATGGGAGAGGGTGAAAGGGGTAAAGGGCACATATGTATGGTGATGGATGAGAACTAGACTATGTAGGTGGTGAGCATGATGCAGTCCGTACAGAAACTGAAATTTAACAGTGTACACCTGAAATTTACACAATGTTGTAAGCCAGTATAACCTCAAGAAAATAATAAAAAAGGCAATAGAATTTCTTGTTTCCTTTGCCTGTATTTATTGAAACCTAAATAAAAATCTTTTACCAAGGTTATATGTGTTTAAACAAAGAGAAAAGGGTTTGCTTTGTATGTGTGCCAAGTGCTCGCTCGTATGTTTTACATCATTTAATTGTTACGGTAGCTCCAATGTATGCATCGTTTCCATGGTAAATGAGGTGAATAACATATAGAACAGCAAAGTGCTATTTCCCAATGTCTCCCATCTAGTAAATCATTCAACCAAAATTCACATCCATAATCCTGTAAATTAACCATGTTGTGTTTCTTACAGAATTTGGCCTCAGTACGTGAAGGACAGGATCCATTCTACCTATATGTACTTAGCAGGAAGTATTGGAGTAACAGCTTTGTCTGCCCTGGCAGTGAGCAGAACTCCTGCTCTTATGAACTTCATGATGAGAGGCTCATGGGTGGTAAGTCGGCTTGTTTTTGGTTTCCTTTGTCACTAAATATCAAAGATTAGATGAAAAATATTAGGGGGTATTGAATGGAAAGAGTACTATGTTGAAAGTTTTCGTTCAAATAACATGAATTATTAGTGCAGCTGAGACAAAGTAGGAAGTACATTCTGAGGTAAGTCAGCTGCTGTTTGTTGAATATGTATTTTAATAGCAGCAAAGGAGTGGGAGACCAAACTTACAGGAACGTCCTACTTACCTGGCAGGAGATGAGAAGCAGCCTCTATTTTGTAGCAGCTTACTAAAAGATAAGGCAGATGGAAAAGCATCTTAAAGGTCAGTGGAAAACCGCTGTCACAAAAACTCAAGCGTTTTGTACTATTAAGAGTAGATAGTGCTGCCACAATTATTCAGAATTTCTCGTCCCTATATAAGGTTTTGTATTCATTGAGTGTTTCTTGATCATTTGTTGTTTGGCTAGATACCAAAAAATTGTTTCAGATTTGGTTTCTATTTTTCTATTATCTGATTGAAGAGATGAACTGGAATAAGTGGTAAAGGATGTGCTGTAAGAAGTAGAAAGTGTAAAATCAGTTGAAAGACTATTTGTCTTGAATTGGTAGGGCAGTTCCATGAAGGAGACGTTTATTTCATCAGGGTCGTTGAAGGTTATTAGCATTTTTTATTTTAGGAGAGGACAAGAGCAGTTCAAGTTTGTAAAACAGCTTGAGCAGAGGAGGTAATCATTAAAAGTGACTTTACAGTCCTGTTAGAGTGAGGTTCCAGTGTTTGAGGTCTGAGTGTGAAGAAGACACAATTAGAAAGGGACTGGTTGGCTCCCAAGCTGAGGAGAGTGCCTCAGCAGTCAGAGGCCATTGCAGGTAGTGGAACAGCAAAAATACAGTTGTGTTTGAGTTTCAAGAACTAATGTGGAAGAGACAAGCAGCATCTGTACCAGCCTTGCCTTTGCAAGATCTGAAGTGAATGATGCTGAAGACTAGAGCAGTGAGTGTGAGAGTGGAAGGGCAGGGGAGATGGGAGAGTTCATATAATGCTTATAGGTTCCTATGGCAAACCGTTTCTCCCCAGAGGGAGCCCAAGTCCATTGTCTTCCTACTGTAGTGTACTTGCCAAGAGGAGAGCCATTTACAGTAGCACAGCCGTTTGGAGCCCTTGGTATTCTTAGGATCTTGCTTCTCAGGTGGACGTCATGAACTCCTGGCCTAGAGGGTCATGAAGGCACAGAATAAGCCTGGTGCATTCCCACCAGGAATGTCGGTTTTAATCAGAGGTAAATAAAGCAATGCTTTTTTGATGAAGCAAACATGGCTACACGAGAAAGATTAAAATGTGCAAAAGAGTTTAGCCTCTCAAAGAAGACTTCAAAGACGCTTTGTGCTTGGGCTGTGTTTTCAGCCTCCTGTGGGCATAAGATTACTCTCACCTGCTGTTCGGGCTAGTTAAGTGAAGTTGTTTGGAAAGTCAGACAGATGCTACAGAGAGGAAGATGAAGCCATGAGGGGTGACCTCATTTGCAGGGATGAGGGCAGAGTTTGTACCGAGTGCTTTTGGGACAGAGGAGAGGCATCTGAATTACTTACTGCTCGTGGCAGCTAGGCTACCTGTCAGAAAAAGTTCCCAGAACAGGAAGTAATCCTTGAGTAAGTCGACCAGCTGGGAAGGAGGTATAGGCCCAGTGAACAGCATGAAAGACGCATGAGACTGGACGTGTCTGCAGCCCGCCAGTCAGCACAGCTGTAGAATGTGGAAAGGGAAAAGGCAAAAATGGAACTGGATCATGGAGGACCTTAAAAGAAAAAAATAGGATTCTGGTAAATATTCTGAAAACGCTTTCCGCAGAGATGTAAGTAGTCGTCCTTAGTAATCATTTCTCCATTGGAAAATGGTAGAGTAGAACCCAGGGTGCTTTTCTGTAGTAATGTGGGTGAAGGGTTTCCATTCTCAGCAGACAGCAGTTGTCTTCGTCTGTGCCTCACACAGGTTTACCCTTCAGATGCCTGGGGTCAGACCGGTGATGCAGATGAGTGAGGCAAGCCTGGTGTGTCACAGGCGGTATTGGCATCTAGAGAAAGCCTTGCCAACTAAAAGCAGTCACGTGCAATTGTTTTTGAATAGTTGGGAAACAAAGCATCTGCCTGATTCTGTCCACTTTCTGTTTTAAAGTTCCTGAAGGTCATTATCATCTTCTTCCATTAGATACACTTCTTCCTTGTTATACGCAAGGAACATTTAAATGTTACAGCAGTGGAGGTGTAAGATAGGCAGAGAAAAGGGATGAGGACCAGGTCAGCAGAAACTGGGAGGACAGAGACTAGACTCTTAGGTCTTGTCTTCTCCATGGGCTTCTATTTTTCAGGCTTTTCATTTAGCAAACATAGAATTCGAGGCAATTTGCTATATATAAATTTTTTTTAAAAATTCTATTTGTGCTAATACCAAAATAAATATAATTAAAAATAATCATTCCGGGATTCTTAAAGGGGTTTTGTTTCACCTCTGTCTGACAAAAATAAAATTTTAGGATGATGGTGTCAAAGCTCAGCTCATTCACTTTAAGTTGTCTGCAAAACTTTATGTATGGCAGTAGGGGGCACTCTTGCTAATTTAGCAAACTAAAGTAAACCCAAGGCCTTTAATGTGCTAGAAAAATACAGGATTCAGCTTATTTTCTTTTTAAATATGGTTTATTGAAGGGACTAACTGAACTTGGAACTTTTGGGTTCTATTTTGTTGTTGTAGAGGATTGATTTTTCTTAGTAACATGTGTCTTTCAGACAATCGGTGCAACTTTTGCAGCCATGATTGGAGCTGGAATGCTCGTGCAGTCAATACCATATGACCAGAGCCCAGGCCCAAAGCATCTTGCTTGGTTACTCCATTCTGGTATGTTCTAATTTTAAATTGCTATTAAATAACCTTGAATACTACCTTTTCTGGTGGTTCTTCACCGTAAGTGGCATGTACATAATTTAATTAAGCCTCATGTTTAGAAACGCAGTTTTCTGTACTTACTACAGGTTGTATTATTGCTAGACCTCTACTCTGAAAAGTTAATGATTCTGAGACCATGGGCATCCCCAGCGTTACACCTGCCCCCTGTGACAGTCTAGGGTGTGCAGAGATTTCCTTTTATGTATTTTCTCTAATACCAGGAGGATTTCAAATCTGATACAGAATCGTTCTTGTTATGTATCTTTAGAAAAATGAAAAACTGAGGGGTGGAGAAGAGAAGGAGAAGGTAAGACATTTGAAAGAATAGGAGTCGAGGTTTTGGCAGTGGAGCATTGAGACAAAGCAGTAAAAAAGGGGCCAGCCTGGTGGCCGTTTGGTTAAGTTCGCATGTTCCACTTTAGCAGCGTGGGGTTCATTGGTTCAGATCCCAGGTGTGGACATGGCATCGCTTGGCAAATCATACTGTGGCAGGCATCCCACATATAAAGTAGAGGAAGATGGGCACGGATGTTAGCTCAGGGCCAGTCTTCCTCAGCAAAAAGAGGATTGGCAACAGTTAGCTCAGGGCTAATCTTCCTTAAAAAAAAAAAAGAAAGTATTGAAAAATCTCTGAATAACCTCCTGTATTTTAAGATTAGCATCATGTGCTCATTCTCTTGTTTCACTTTGTCCCTTTTTGGCAGCAGTAGGTTTGACCTTGAGTTACTCATTTTAAGCTTTTTTATCTCAGTTCTTAGATATATGAATATTGTTCTAAAGACTAGTGGTACACTCAGCTCTAAATAATGAACAACCTAGAATTTGAGGACGTTACTAAAAATCTAGATTATTGTTTGTACTTGTGAGCTGTGACTGTTTGACTAGGAGTAGTGTTACTGTTGTGATTTAGAGTTTGGAGAGCCCCAAGTTTTGGTGGTGGAATTTTTGGGGTAGTATTACCCAATGGGGGGAAGGCTTTTTGTAATCATGTTGTTTAACAATAAGGTATAACACGTACAGATGGCATGTTAGTTAGCAGTGACATTTTCCCTTTGGTGGTTATTTAGTGAATACTCATCTGACCTCTTGCTCTTCTTCCAGGTGTGATGGGTGCTGTGGTGGCTCCGCTGACGATATTAGGGGGGCCTCTTCTCATCAGAGCTGCCTGGTACACAGCAGGCATCGTGGGAGGCCTCTCCACAGTGGCCATGTGTGCGCCCAGTGAGAAGTTCCTGAACATGGGTGCACCCCTGGGAGTGGGCCTGGGTCTCGTCTTCGTGTCCTCACTGGGTAAGCCACTGTGCCTTAACACTTGGTTCTTGATGTCCTAAAATCATCGGACATACTCAGGTATCCTAGTGCAGGGAATTTATTAGGAGTCGTTTTTAAAAGTTGTTTAAAAGATGCAAGCTCATGTGCCTGGATTTTCTTATTTGGCATCTTGGTAAACCATTGTCGGTTTTACCAGAGACATCTAGAATGGGGAACTGGGTCTAGAGAACATGAAAATTGCTCTGATGTGGGAGCCTTCCTGTACTCTGGGCAGTGACCCACTACAGGAAAGAGTATCATGGATTTTGAACTGAATGTACATAAAATTGGTGCCTGTTTTCAGTTAGACATTTTCTTATCTGTGCAGAATACCAAAAAAATTTAAGTAGTGTTAATTATAAATCCAGTAATAGAAAAGTCCTTTTTCAAAAAAACCTTTTTTTTCCTATTTTGACTCCAGGATCTATGTTTCTCCCACCTACCACTGTGGCTGGGGCCACTCTGTACTCAGTGGCGATTTATGGCGGGCTAGTTCTCTTCAGCATGTTCCTTCTGTATGACACACAGAAAGTCATCAAGCGTGCAGAGCTGGTGCCAGCATATGGAGTTCAGAAGTATGATCCCATCAACTCGTAAGTAGTCTTCCCTTTGTTAGGTGAGGACGTGAGGATATTTGTGTTATGTTGGCATGTTTCGTTTTATGGCTGTATGAGTTTCCTAGGGCTGCTGTAACAAATTATACACTGTGGTTTCAGAGAACAGAAATTGATTCTCTCTGTGCAGGAGGCCAGAAGTCTGAAATCAAGTGTCATCTGGGTTGGCTCCTTCTGAGAGCTCCAAGGGAGACCTTCTTCCGTGCCTGCCTCCTAGCTGGTTGTTAGGGCCCGCAGTCCTGGGCGTTCCCTGGCTTGTAGATACATCAGTCCAGTCGCCACATCTGTCTTCCTCCCTGTGTCTGTCTCTTCTTAGAAGGACACCAGTCATATTGGCTTAAGGCTCACTCTACCCCAGTATTACTGCACCTTTGTTTGTTTATTTGTTGGTGAGGAAGATTGGCCCTGAGCTAACATCGATTGCCAATCTTCCTCTTTTTGCTTGAGGAAGATTGTTGCTGGGCTAACATCTATGCCAATCCTCCTCTATTTTTGTATGTGGGATACTGCCACAGCCTGGCTTGATGAGCAGTGTGTAGGTCCACACCTGGGATCCAAACCCACAAACCGTGGGCCACCGAAGTGGAGCATATGAACTTAACCACTACGGCACATGGCTGGCCCCTACTTCATCTTAGCTCGCAGCTTAATTTTACCCCTTTTTTGTTAATTAGCCCGTGATGCTCATGTTGGTCATTTAATCTTTTTAGTAACTTATATTTAACAGACTTTAAAACTGAAGAAATGTGTTAATCAAGTATTTGTTGGAAAGTATACATAATTGACTTGAAATTTTTAATAGAAAAGCCTATTTTATTCAAGATTGGAAACAATATGAAAATTCCGTTTTGGAATTCAGCTTCAGCTGATACTAAGTGTTCTATAATAATGCTTTTTTCCTTTTCTTGGCCTCTCCATCAAAGTAGGTTATTTTATTTAAACAATTTTCCTGATTTTCATGGTGGCTATCATATTTTTTAAAGTAATTTGTTTCTCTTTCTTTAAAGCTAAAGCTTAGTGTAATTGTTTTTAAATGCTGCTGTAGGGCTTACAGGTTTGTAGCAGGCTTTGGTTGGGAGGGTTGTGCGGGTGGGCTGTATTTAAAATCGCCAGACTTGTGTCTAACACCTTTTGTGAAGGTGTTTCTTCGGTTTTGTTTTGATTATATCATTGTCAACCAGTTTTTTCCCAAAAGATACTAAGTGTCAGAGGGTAGAATAATGATTTTTTTTATAACTACTCTTTAACATTTAAAAGATTAATCTTCTAGAAGAAAATCTTGACTATTTTCCAGTCTCAGGCATCCCTAGTTGGCTTTTTTTAGTTTCCATTTCATATACCGGGACACATAATCAGCATTGCTTTTTTCTTTTCTAGTTTAAGAAATGGTTTTTGTCATTGTTATTAGAATTACATCACGTATGATGGGCGTAATTTTATTTTCTAGGATGCTGGGAATCTACATGGATACATTAAATATATTTATGCGAGTTGCCAGCATTCTAGCAACTGGAGGCAACAGAAAGAAGTGAAACGACTCGGCCTCTGAGTTTGTACACCGGATATCGTGCTTGTGTGATAGGGGCGGACATTCATTACATAGTTGGCTCAAGCAGCTTCCCTTGACGTGTAGAAGTTAAGAACTTGTCAACATGGTTCAGATGTTCCAGTGATACGATGCTTCAGGTCTGCTTGTACTTCCGGAGAATAAATTCAGTAATTCTCTTCCAGATAAGCACATCCATTTCCAATTCTCATGTTTTGAGTAATTCTAAAATGTTTTAATGAATGTGAAAACTAAGGTTTGCGCTGTGAGAATTTGTGTTTTATGTATTTTTAAATTTATCTGGTTATGTGAAAATTAGCAAGCTTGTGTTTACCTGCATATTTGGAGGAATGCCGAGTATTAACAAGTAATGTCCTAAGGGGCATAGAGGTTCGGCACAGGGACCAGGGAGAAGGGAGCCACCTGCTCTGTTTCTTTGACTGCTTAGAACTTAGCGCTCGGGTAGCTGGTGGGGAGCCAGTGAGAGGGAAACAGTCATTGCCATGTCCGCGTTCCTCTGCTGAGCGGACCGAAGCTGTGAGCGTGAAGCTGACAGGGATGACTCAGTCTGCTCTCCTGGCTCAGCCTGGGCTTGAGCGCTCTCTGCAGCGGAGCCTGAGCCTGCTTGGCTTCTTGTTTGACGTTGTCCCACAGTCCAGAATGTTGATCATGTGGAGGATTCCTGGTCTGTAATACATGTTACATACGTGTGTGTGTGTGTGTGTGTGTGTGTGTACCTTTTACTTTTGAATCTGCTAAAACAAAATATCCTTAACTTTTCTCAGGACAAAATATTCCCAGCATGAAATTGTTGTATTTTCAAGTATGCAAATAGTATGTTTATAATTGCTGAGTTATTTTGCATATTTATTGAAATGTTTAATAGAATACATGCTTGCCTTGCTCATCTCTTCAAGCTTTGAAGCTTTTATCAGAAAAGCCTCTTTGTGGCTTACACTTGAGATTATGAAAGCAGTTTTTCTCCTAAGACTGTTGGTTTCTTGTGTTCCCTCTCAGACTAAGCACTGAAAAGGAGAACTAGTCTTTCTTCATGGACTACACAATAAAAAATGCAGTGGGGGAAGTGCTTTGCTAGAGTTCCCCAGCAGAGTTTCCCTTCTCTCCTGCACACACCATCACTGAACTCGTGAGGTTTGTAGGGTTTTTGATACAGAAGAGTTACTTTTGGAAGTTCTTAATGAATGAATGAAGTGTATATGATTATTGAGATTGGCGTTCTTGGCAAATATTATAGTAATCCAGAAATAACTATTCTAACCGCCTCAGATCACATAGGATGCTTGTTTCTGAAAGAATAAAGGTTCCAGCCCGATGGGTGATTGGTCTGTAATTTTTCCAAGTGAACCATATTCCTTATACCGTTTGAATAGGGGGTGTGTTCCAGAAAGCAGCTTGCTTTTTCACCAGTATAGAATAAACAGTGCATCTTCTTATGACTGGTGCTTAGAGCTAGTCTCCCCTTTTTTGAGCCCCAGCTCTTCCGCTTACTTTTTATATGACCTTGGGCAAATTAATGTGTCTGTGTCCATTTCCTCATCTCATACCTCATAGGGTTAAGGTTAATGTGTGGGCCCTTAGTAAGCACTATATAAGTTTTAGCTGCTGTTGCTGGTTTTTTGGGGGGTTTTTTTCCTTAAGAAAAATTTAAGTGGCAAGCTTCTATTTTTCCCTTCTCTACATTACTCCCTGAACAATACCAGTATAATCTTTAAAGTGAAATCTTAAAAGATCTGTTGTCTTTAGTCAGGTTTTGAACCCAAAGTTTATGTTCTTGTGTTTGGATGGTATCACACGCAAAACAAAATGATATAATTCCAACAATGAGTATCAGGCAGAGGTTTATCTAGAAAATCAAAGGGTTTTTTCCTCTAATGACCTAGTATTTTATTGCAACACTTTCTCTGACTTTGTTAAGACAATGAAGACTTCAGTATAAAAGGTGAGTTAATATATAAATGGCAAATTCCTATATAATATTATACTAGATCTAAAGTGAGAAAAAAAATCACTAGTTCCGTGGCTCCTGTAAACATAGCACTGGTGGTTTTTTCCTCATAACCCACAGGGAAGAGTGAAGACCTGCAAATGGATGGGTTAAGGCAAAGAAGAATATATCCATTTCTTATTTTCTAAAACATCATCTGACATGTTAAAAGGATAACTAAGATGTATGGTTAAAAATAATCACATAAAGGGGCTGGCCCCCTGGCCGAGTGGTTAAGTTCGCGCACTCCACTGCAGGCGGCCCAGTGTTTCGTTGGTTCGAATCCTGGGCGCGGACATGGCACTGCTCTTCAAGCCACGCTGAGGCAGCGTCCCACATGCCACAACTAGAAGGACCCACAACGAAGAATATACAACTATGTACCGGGGGGGCTTTGGGGAGAAAAAGGAAAAAAATAAAATTAAAAAAAATATTAAAAAAAATTTTTTTTTTTTAAATAATCACATAAAAGGCCCTTCCGATTGGGTTAGAATGGTTTCTAATGAACATTCAATCAGAAAACATCAGTGTATCAGGCACCATGCTAGCTGGACCCAGTAGAGACTATGATAAATAAAAGTCACTGCCTTTTAAAGCCTAGCAACCCCCTGTAAACACAACCATGGTCCATTGTGTTGAGTGTCAGGAGAGAAGGGAACAAAGTTGAAATGTGAAAGAGTAATGAGTTTCCAGGATGTGCCGGGGGGTCTTCAAGAGTAAACAGTAGTTACGGCCCATGAAAAAGGCAGGAGGGCACTTCATACAGCATAAGCAGAGAGATGGGGAAGACTGTAAGAAAGGAAAGTTCCCTCGAAGCCGGATTTCCTGCTCCCAATGGGTATGTGTTCTGTGCCGAGGGCCCTGAGCCCTTAAATATTTTCTGTGCACCTCAAAATGTTAGAGCCTGGGGAGAAAGGCATATTTCTCTTAAGATTGTTCATCTGGATGCGATGTGTCCATGTTAAAGCTCCTGAAACTGATACCCAGGATTTGTATCATTCTAGTAGGGTCCAGATATGCTGGCAACAGGATTGAGGTAAGTTTTGTGTGTGTTGTGCGCTAAGCCCTTTACATGAACTAGAACATTCCTTCCTGTGGTTCCCATTTTGTGGAGGAGTAAACCGAGGCCCACAAGCTTGATCTTTGCACAGGGTCTTCTGGCTGGGCAGGGTGAGGTAGTGGAGTTGAAACTCCTAACCAGTCATCCTCGGCAGGTTGTGTGAGTGCCGTGGGGCTGACGTCCTCTGAGAATCACAAGAGCACTGTGCAGATTAAATGGTCAGGCTGGGATCTACTGAAGATACCTGGAACATTAGAATTCTAGTGTTTATCAAAAGGGCTTGGCCTCAGTGTCTGAAGGACAAGTGGTACTGCGAGTCCTTTTCTGTATTCCTCAGTCCACTTGCAGCTACAAATCAAACCTTTTTTTTGTGGAGTGGGGGCAGATTAACTCTGAGCAAACATTCACTGCTAATCCTCCTCTTTTTGCTGAGGAAGACCGGCCCTGAGCTAACATCCGAAGAACCCATCCTCCTCCACTTTATACGTGGGACGCCTGCCACAGCATGGGTTGCCAAGCGGAGCCATGTCCACACCCCGGATCTGTACTGGCAAACCCCAGGCCGCCGAAGCGGAACGTGTGCACTTAACCGCTGTGCCACCGGGCTGGCCCCCAAACCATTTTTTTAAGGTTGATATAATCAGCAGGATGGAATCCTCCCTAAATGTACTCCATGAGCTAGTACTCAAAACAGAAGCCGCTTTTCAGGGAAAGATGAAGTTAGGACCTCGAGGACCTTGTCTTTTGTGAAGCAGTTGAGGAAGATGGAGCGAGTTCTCCCGGTATTAACACTTGAAAACAGCAAAAGGAGCATTTTGTGCCAGAAGCAAGGATGAAATCAAGTCTGATGGGGAGAGGGGACTATATGGACCATTCTGGCCAGTATCTCCCAGGGCTGCTGGCCAGATAGCATAAGGGCAGGTCCTGCACCATCTCCCCTCAGCCTCAGCATTCGTTCGGCTCTGCCTGCTTCATAGCTTGTGTGGTTCCTCACCTGGCAGAACAAGTACCAGGCCTCCCAAGGGGCCTCTCGGCCCCCCAGCTTCAACGGGGGGGCTGATGGGGCGGGGTGTGTTGCAGCTGCATTGGATGCACATAGGAGCTGTGGGGTTCCGCATGGCTGCCCCAGAATTACAGAATTAATCTATTCAGGCAGGACCCAATTGACACTCATTCTTAAAACTGGGAACAAGTTTAGAAACAATTTTAAACATTTAAAACAAATGCTTTCCACTGAGCACTTTGTAAAAGCTGCTTCATCACCTGCAGGTTCGGTGTCAGCTGGCCATCATTCCTTCAGGCCAAACTTCCATGTGCCTGGAACACGTGGACTGCTCACCCACGAGCCCCACAGTGGTTTCACAGAGCATCACAGAGCCTGGAGAAAGGCTTACATGACGACCTCATAGGAAGGACGTCATGTCTTAATTTTATTTGCTCTTTAATCGTGTCAGTTACCTCAATTCTAAAATGCAGTATTTTTCACACTTCACTTCTGAAGTGTGTGTTTCATTTCATGATTTTTCTTTTTGCAAAGCTAAATAGCGTGTCAAAATCAGTGGCACGTTCGAATTGAAGAAGCACGGTATCTTGCCATGGTTTGTTCCCCATGTCTAATAGTTCATCGTCCTGTAAGAACAAGTATCTAAGGGATTATCTCTTGATAGCTATAGATAGCATCCTTTACTGATGATTCAGAGGGAATCTTCCATAAGAAAGTACAAACAACCCAGCCCCACCCAGTTATGTACTTTATACGGGCTGAGTGGACTGATTTCCCAGCAATGCAGTGACTCCCAGACAGGAAGACCAGTGGAAGCCACGAGAGAGTGTCAGCGGTGTGATAGGATCTGCCTGTTCAGAAGGAGAGTGCGAGATCCAAGGATTGCTCAGTTTGGTACTCCCAGAACGAGTTAACTCTTAGCACCGAGTGTGGGGAGAACTAGGCATGAGTAAGACCCTCTGCCCTGCCATCACAGCCTGGCAGGAAACCCATCAGTCTGGAAGGGGCATCTGATGGGCAGAGGAAGGGGGTGCTAGCCAGGAGAGAGCTCATGGTGAGAGAATGCCACTGGCCCTGCCCACCCGGGAGCAGTGAATGCTGGAGGCCAAAGCCCTGACTGTAGGGGGGCATTTAGGGCCCGAACACAGCAATGTTCATCTTCACAAGTCACACTTTTCTTTTGAGGAAGATTAACCATGAGCTAACAACCGCTGTCAATCCTCCTCTTTTTGCTGAGGAAGACTGGCCCTGAGCTAACATCTGTGCCCATCTTCCTCTGTTTTGTATGTGGGATGCTGTCACAGCATGGCTTGACAAGCAGTGTGTAGGTCCACGCCCAGGATCCAAACCAGTGAGCCTGGGGCTGCCAAAGCAGAGCGAAGGGACTTAACTGCTGCGCACCAGCCCGGCCCCCACAAGTTACTCTAAGAGATCAAGTCAGCAGATATTTATTGGGCACTTAATTAGGTACCACATGGTTAAAAATGTGAGAACTGGCAGCAAATGACCCAAGGTAGTTATGAAGCCATAATGCACAGCTACGAAAGCTTCATCCAGACAATGGCTGCAGGAGTTCAGGAGGTGGTGGTGCCGAGGGCCACAGGAATGTGGGTGTTGCCCACACGCCCCACCACAGAAGGCTCCGTGGCTGGAGGGGGCTCCCCACTTAGGCAGGAAGGGGAATGTCTGGGGCAGCCCCAGCACATGGCATTCTGGGAAGTACCCGGACCTTCTTTGCAGAGAACCCAGCCTCTGCGTGCAAACCGGGTGTGTGTGACTCTGTGTGCTCGCAGTGCAACCATGTGAGCGCCCGAGCAAAGATGGGAGTATATCACCCACCTTATTTAGTAGAAGCGTCACTTAAAAAGTTGGAGAAATTATGACAAGACTTCCACTGTTCTTAATTCTAAGTGGCAGAAAAAAAAATGGGTAGGAGAATGGGGTGTTTGGGATCTTTTTCAGTATATGATAGCTGCCCCTGAGTAATATTCTTAAAAAAGAAAGTATGTCCAGAGAGAAAGTCCATTGAAACATTTTAAAGGAAGGCTTTCAGATTTTAGGAGCTTCGTGGAAAGACAAGGAACGCAGAACATCCCTCCACCCTGTGGCCTTTGGCTCGCCCCGACTGAGTGGAGCTGGCCCCTGAGCCCAGAAGGTCCTTGCAGCCCTGACTTGCTGCGTCTGCAGTGACCTCGGGGCTCAAGTTTACTGCAGGGCGACAGCCGCACCTTGCGCACACGCCTCGTCCTGGAGGTGCCGGGTGGGGATGAGAACAGGGGAAGGTGACACCTCTTCTGGGAAGCGGGCTGCCAAACCTGCAACACCCAGGCTGACACGGACAAACAGGATCCATCCCAGCCCTGCCCGCCATCCCCCCAACCCTGCTCCGAGCCTGCCGGGCGCAGTGTCCTGGGCCTGCCGCCTCCCCCCACCACTCTGCCGGCCTTGCCCTCCCCAGCACAGCCCATGTTTGTGATTGCACCGGGCCGCAGTCATTTAGACCAGAATTCCAGGGCCATTTTTTTTTCCTTTGCCCCGAGTTGTGGGAAGAAAAGATAGTTGTTGTGCCTGATGAAAGCAAGTGAAAGGTGGGTGTTTTTTGGAGACAGGTTGCCACTGAAAAGCGGAGAGGAATCTATGCACCCCACGCTCGGCACTTGACCACCTAATAGGACAAAAAATTATTTTCATAAAGCACGACGCTGTGGGGTTACACTCTCAGCAAAAGGATCTGTTCTTCTCCAGCTTCGGCTACGGCTTTACTGAGGAACAGAGAAGTTGACTCTGTGTCCAGAGTCACACAGCTAAACTGTGGCAGAGCTCTGCTTAAAGCCTGGATGGTGTGGTTCTAGAGCCTGTGCCTTTAACAAGTGTAGGGGCGGTACAGAGACAGAAATGGACAACAAGCATCCTGAGTGCCCCACTCCATGCCCAAACCACGGGGTGGGTGTGAGGGTGTGGGGGCTAAAGGCCCCAAACTCCGGAGAGAGAGAGTGGGAAACTGTTGCCATCAGGGACTCGGAGATGGTGGCTCACAGGTGCTGCGGCACCAACAGGGAGAAGCCACAGGGTGGAAGAGACAGCGCCCTCTGGTCTCCCCGTGCGTCTGTGTCGTGGAGGAGAAGGTGACATCCTGGCATGGCCCCCACAGAGGAGCCTGCAAGCCTGCCGGCAGCCACCATGGCAAGGCAGGGTAGCCCACGGCCACCGCTGTGGGGGGATAGCCTGAGCCAGGCAGGAGGGAGACGCGAGTAACCGTGGAAGATGCACAGCATCCAGGAGAACCTAGGGACCAGGAGGGCGGGGCAGGAGGAGCAGACGGGGTTGACCAGCGGGACTGGCAGCAGGAGCCCAGGCTTACAAGGAAGCTCAGACTCATTGTCAAACATAGAGGAAGCCATCAGGGTTTTATACAATTAGGGGGTGGCGTGTAAGCTGAATATCCACATTGTGGGCTATCTTTGGCTGCTCCTGGGCTCTCACAGAAACAGCCTGGAAAGAACCACAGCTCTGGGGTCAGGTAGCCCCGGGCTGGGGTGAGAAGCTGCCAGAATGTTCTTTATGAGGTGAAGGGAAACTTGGCTCTCCTTTGGGGCAAGTTGGAAACGGAATGCCTGCCGCCCTGGGGTGGAGGAGAATTAAATGAGAAGACAATGGAGGGGGCCCCATGAGTCTGGCCCCTCCCTCTATTGTAAACTGACCTGCAGTTTTCTAGGCAAATAAGGAGGGAGAGTCATTCGGGATCAATCACAGGGTCCGTAAAGCACCGTTTGGACAAGAGTGGCCGCCAGCCAAGACAGCCCTAACCACAGAGGGTGGGGACGTCTTGGGCACTTTCCGAATTAACTGGGAAATCATAAATTTGACTTGAAAAAACTTTCTTCCTTGTAAATTCCCCTGTGTGTTGGGTGCGTCTCTGGAGATTTTTTCTTCTCAGGAAGGCTGCCAAGTGTTCAAAATCATCTCTGGAAATTATTATTTGAAGCCTCAAGTTGGATTATTTTTGTACCCAAAGTGCATATGCTTAAAACGAACAGGTGTTCCTGTTAAAGTGCTTCTCATATTCACCTCCCTCGACTCCGCTCCCCATGAGATTCCAGACATTGTAAAGAGCCAGAGGTGTTTCTGCCTTTTCTAACGTGAGACATTAACAGCTATCTTTGAAATGCGAAAAAAGCAGGTGAAAATCTGTGAAGAATGGTTGTCTCTGAGGAGTCAGGTTTGGGATGGAACTTATATTTTATACCCTGTGTTCTTTACATTCATGCGGCATAGATGGCTTCAGTATTTTTTTTTATAAGCATTTAAAAAAAGCAGGTGGAATTCTGACATCTGAATCTCTTCTTCCTTTGAACATATGGCCCCAGGAACACCTGCGAATCTGTGAGTTGTGTGTGTGCGTAGAGAACACCTGAGACAGCCAGCTCTCGCTGACTCTGAGCTGGGCAGGCCCTTACAGCTCCGTTCCGTGGTGGGAAAAAAGCTGGGCTGAGAATATGACATCCATGTCTGACTCCATGGCTGAGTGGCTGAGTGTGCTAGAAAGATTCCCCATGTCCTGGCTTAGCTGGATGGTGGATCCAGACAAATCCCTCTCTTCGCTGGCCGAGAGTTGCTCCTCATTTCTGCCCCATTGCTGAGCAATTCGAATTCAGTCACTTAATCCCCTGCTCCTTCTACCAGGGAGGATGTTCTTTCCCCTCTGATGACGGTTTGCCGAAAGCAAAAAGGAACCATGCCAATGCAAAGAGTACTTGTTACAACAGGCGACGGGTGCATGGCCTCCAGAGGTATGCTGTTGCCCAGAGAACTCGGTGGTGGAGCCCCAAATGACCCCAGATAACAATCAATAAGGTAGTGCTCATAAGCCTTGATGTGGCCCATGGGTGCAATCTTAATCTCAGCTGGCATCGGTAACCTCTGCTGAGTTTATGGACCTTTCCCACACTCTCTAAGTAAGGACAGTGCCGGGCTTGAAAACACAGCCTCAAGACATGCCCCACCCTCTTCCTTCCCCTCCTTCCAGCACTGGCTGCCCCCAAATCCCTCCCGGGCACCAGCGCTGGACTTGCCCCTGCCAGTTGCCCCCGGCTCTTCCTGACCCTGTCCTCTGCCGTGGCCACTGCCAGCCCAGCACAGCATCGGGACTGACGGGGAACCAGGCTGGGGCTGGCCGGTGACTCACACAGGCTGACACGTGGCCCTTCAGCTCAGCGGCCCCAACCAGTTTCTTTGTGTGGTCTGGTTTTAAAGTGTTTGCAAATGCAAGCATGCAGGCGGGCTGTCACAATACCCCCTGGCCTCTGGCTTGCTCAGCCGTCTGAGTGAGTAGTCTAAATTGTGCTTCTAATCTCCAGCACAGGAGGAGCCCCAGTGAAGTGCCCGTTGGCCCGTGTCGGGCAGCAGGGAGTGCTGAATTGGCTGCCGGGAACCGGTGAGATCCTGGGGACCTGAGCCAGATACTGGCATCTTCCCACCAGCTCTTCGAGGCTGGAAAGCAGAGCCAGCTCCTCGGTTAGAAGGGTGTGTTTCCTAAGGGAAAGGACGGATGGACATGACATCACAAAGGCAAACGCAAATTCTCTGCATCCGCATGGCCGCCTCCACCAACAGAAGCTTCCAGAGGCCAGGCATGGCGTCTTCCATGTCCCCCGGGCCAAGCGCACACGGAATGTGACGCCTGGGGCCTCCTGCACCCATCGGCGAACGCTTCCCCGTGCCTGCCCTCGTTGGCTGTTCCCGTCCTCCACACCTTTGCTCAGGCTGATCCTGTACCTGAAATGCCCTTTCGTTTTTCCCTATGCACCCATCCCAGTCCAGCTGCAGCTCCACATCCCTCACAGCTGTACAGCGTCCCGCCCCCCCCCCACCCCGCCCCTCCTTGGCAGGGGGCTTCTCATGCTGGCTTGTGAGAGAGGCAGCGCTGTTCCCCTTTCTCAGATAGGAGGCAGACAGTCAATGGCAAGTTCAAGGTCACACTACTGAGATGTGGCAGAGCAGGGGCTCAAACCCAGGGCGTGGGATTCAGGTCCTCTGCTCCCTGCATTCCACCCATTGCTCTAGCCTCTTCCCTGAGGCTTTGTAAAGGGTTTTATGGTCCTTCTCCTGCCACATCTAAGGACTGAGCAGGAAGGTCTGTATTTGATGGAATTATTACTGACTCTAAAAGTTAACGTTCAACCCTGGGCAGTGACTCTTCGCTGGCAGGAGTTTCCTGCTCTGACCACTGAGGCCAGCGCTGGCAGCACTTGGGCTGGGCGTTTACAGCTCCGTGTGTTACAGCTCACGAAATGCTCCCAACTTCTTGAAAAGCTGGTTTTTTCCTCTTGGGAGGGGCTGACTCTACCCTTCATGAAATTTCCAAGGCTGCTGGTGCCCTGCCCATCGGGAAACACCTCTCCCTGTCACTCTATAAATGTCCGAGGTGGCCCCGAGGGAGGGATTCTGCCGCACTGCTGCCTCCCCAGGACGTGAGACTCAGCCACCCCGCCATGAGGTTTCCAGTCCTCCTCAGCCTGCTCTGCATCTTGCTTCTCTGCTTCTCCATCTTCTCGGCAGAAGGTAGGGCTGTCCCCCCGGGGTGCTGGTCCCTGAGCAGGAATTTTAGCGTCTGGGAAGGTCGGAATCAGGAAATGTCCGGGGCCAGGCCCCCCTAAGGGCAGTCCTGGGCCTGGGAAGATGCGCTCTCACTCCAAACCCCGTGAGGCACCTCTATCCACCAAGGGTGACTTGGGAGCCTTAGACCCCACGATCCCCGTCTGCAGCTCCCAACATGCACACTTGAGCTAGGGAATGAGCAGCGTGCTTCTCGTGCAAATGCACAGCCTCCCAGCTAGACAGCTTTGTGCGCCTGTCCCGCCCAGCCAGAAGTGCTGGCGCCACGCTGTCGTACTTGTGTCACGCGTGGGGCACGGTACAGTACATTTGTGCTGAGTAAATGAATAAATTAATTAGAAGGCCCGCGGAGTGTGGACATCCCAAATCTCACGCACAGTAAACGCCTGGGGCAGAGGGGGTGTGAGTGTGTGCAGTGGGGGCAGGTTTGTGTGTGTTTAGAAGTGGGGGGTGGTCCTTGCACCTCGGTGGATAGGAATATTTAGCTCTCCTGCCCTTCTTGGTTCAGACGGCTGTGTATTTTGAGCTTTTCCTCTTGCCTAACCCTCTAGAAACTGCCTACTTTTATTTTTTGTTTTGGGGCTTATGGTTATTGTAGCATTTATTGGAGTTGGGAATATACAGATACGCACAGGAGTGAAAAACACCCATAATTTCATGACTCAGGAATAGCCGTGTTCAATGTTTGGTTTATTTCTTTTCAGTTTTTCCTGCTAGCATTTTCGTCATTGGTAAATCTCTATACATCCAATGTTGCATCTCTTTTCTTTATCACTGTATTATTCTAATCACCAAAAATACTCATGATTGAAATTACTCTGGAAGCATTTATACCAGAATGTCAACAGCAACGCCCTCTGAGCAGTAGGGTTATAGGAAGGATTTGTTTTCTATAGTTTCTGCAATGGACTTGGCTGCATATATTATATGAAACGCGGTGATTACAATTCCTCATAAACCCACCTCCTGGGATTTATGGATTCTATTTGTGGACGTGTTCGAGGTTGCCCATGTTGCCTTAGTGACTATTTGGTGAAGATGAATCCCTTTCCGCCCAAAAGTACAGATACTTAGGAGTATCTGTAGCAGATTCTCCAAAGTGGTGTCATTTACCTAATATTTTATATGTGACGATGAATTTACAAGCTTAGGCATTTACATTGTCCACGGCTTTGCACTATTTTAAGTATGTGGTAAAAAGCATATGTGCCCATAAAACATTTTCCATATTTAGGATTATTTTCTTAGGCTAGATTGCCAAGGGGAGAATGACTGTGTCAAAGGGCACAGACACCTCTGAGTGATGGTGCCGAACCATTTCTCCATCAGGAACAAGGGGAAGATGGATTCCTGGGGCAGAGTGTCTCCCCACGCTGGCTTTGTTATTTCTGAACCATAGTTCTCTCAAGGCACCCCCTTTCCTGGGCCCTCCCCTTGCCTGGCCCATCCTGAGTTTCCTTGAATAAATATTCCTGAGCCCCGGGCCTTGGGAGCAGGAGCTCAGACCAGGCCTTCCTGCACAGACCACCCCCCTCCCCGTGGTGTCCCCAAGCATGCTGACGGGGGTCTCTGCCCTCTGTGTCCACCCCCAGGGACAAGGCCGAGGCCCCGCCCCAAGCACGGGAAAGTCCGGCCCTGCTGTCCTCCAGGTGGCACCCCGGTCCAGGTGAACCCGAAAGGTGAGCGCGCGCTGCCCCGGCGGGGAGGGGCGGCAGGGGAGGCCAGGCGGGGCGCACGGGGGTCACCCGGCGGGGCGGGCGCGGTGCGCTGGGCGGAGGGGCCGCGGGCAGGGGGTGGTCTCGGCCTCCTAGGGCATCAGTCTGGTGGGGAAGACTGCCCCCTCCCAAAGTGATCATTTTCAACTGAATGCGTTCCATCAAGGGACAGAACAGAATGCAGTTGCGGAAATGGTTTGGGGGCACCCCGTGCCCGGAGTGGGTGACATCAGAAGGGGCGGCGCTCCGGAGACGGGAGGGAAGGCGCGCAGCCGCCCCGGGTCGGGGAGCCGAACGGTGCAGGCGAGGAGGAGCGGCTGCAGGCAGGGCTGGACCGGGGGCGGGGGACAGAGGGGCCCGGGGGCGGGCACAGGGTGAGCGGCCGGGGATGGAGCGCGCAGGTCGGAGAACCAGTCCTGGCGCCGGGCCGGGGGCGCAGGGTCGGCTCCGTGCAGAGGGCGGCCGGGAGGAGCAAGGCCGCCCTCTCCCGCAGGGCGGGGGGGCGCAGGGCTCCAGGGAAGACAGCCCCAGGAGGGCGGCCGGTCCCAGCTGCCCGTGCCTGGCCACCAGGCCAGGGGCAGGCTGCCCCTGGGAGTCGCCTGGCCTGGGCGGAGCGGTCAGGACGGCTAGACCCCGGCTGGCCTTTGGTAGGAGGGTCCAGAGCCTGGAGCAGGCAGAGCCCCCATGGGACAGCAGCAGAGCCTGGAGCCAGCCGCACCTGACGCACACCCAAGGGCTCCTGACCCCACTTTCTGCAGCCTAAGGCCCCTCTCGGGGGTCTGAGAAGGCCCCAGCCCTAAGCCCACGACCAGAGCCAGCGCCTCCACACCCCTCCCAGCTACCAAGAGGGCTGGGCAGCGAGGGGGGCCCGGTGTGAAGGAGACGGAGGCGGGGGAGTCTGCAAGCTCAGCCGCAGGGCGCCTCTCCGGAGGAGCTCACAGCCCCTCCTGCCAAAGTGGCATCACTTCCCGCCGGGGCCGGTAAAAATAACCGGTTCTCACACATGCAACCGGGTGTGAGGCGCCCGCCCAGCAAGGCGGAGGGGGAGGCCCTGTCAACGGACTGTGACTCTGTCCCCCCCTGCTCCCCCGACCACTGGCCCCAGCCTGGAGCGCAGGAGAGTTTCTGGGAAATAAAGAAGGCGAAAACCCAGGGGAGAGAGGTGGAGGCCCTCCCCACCCAAAGGGCAGGGTGCCCCAGCCTGCCTTTCTCCCCACGCCCCTCCCTGGAGGGACTTGCTCAGAGGCAATAAAGAAAAGAGAGGCTAAGATGTGCATGCACACACGTGCACACACATGTGCACACGCAGTTCACAGGAAACACAGCCTGGTTAACTCTTGTGCACGGTACAAGGGCAGCCGTTTTGTTAGTCACACAACGCTTTAGCATAATCTGGGCGCACGTCTCCCAGGTTGAGCCTGGAAATCTTTTAGTGGATATATTTTTTTAAATTCCACAGCAGAAATCTGCAAACAATTTAGAAGAAGAAAAGCAAAACAAATTTTTTTTTTTGATGAGGAAGATTGGCCCTGAGCTGACATCTGTATGCATCTTCCTCTCTTTTGTATGTGGGATGCTGCCCCTGCACGGCTGGATGAGCCATGCGTAGGTCCATGCCCGGGATCCAAAGTGGTGAACCCTGGGCTGCCAAAGCGGAGCACAAGAACTTACCCACTAAGCCATCAGGCCAGCCCCCAAACAAACATTTTTATTGGGTCCTTATCATGCAATCTCATTTAAATCCTGGGAACCACCCTAGGGAAGCATTCTCACCATTTTACAGATTGGGAAACTGAGGCTCAGAAAGACTCTGAGGCAGAGCCGGGAACCTGGATCTTTCCACCTCTTCCCACTACAACCGGCCGCCTCCTCAACAGAGAGTCGGTCCCCGCAGCATGCTTACGAGGACATGCGTGTGCCCGAGGAAGACCAGGCTCCCGGTAAAGAAGGAAGGCACCGTCCGGGCTGGCATCTCAGCTCCACCGCCTGCTGGCTGTGTGCCCCCAGGTGCAGGTCACCCAGCTCTGCTGAGCCTCAGTCTCCCCATCTGTGAAAGGGGATGATAATGGAATCAGCCTCGCCGGGCTGTGGTGAGGAGTCGGTGGGGTCGTGACTATGAAGCCGGGCGTTGGCCTGGCACCAAGAACCCCTTAGACCTGCCCAGCTGTTGCGGTGGAGGGAGTCTGGGCCCTGCCAGGGCAGTTGAAGCAGGAGCCCCAATTCCCACGCTGGAGATGGAAGCCCGTGCAGTCTCGTCCAGGCTCAGTGGCTCCACCGCCATCCTCCAGGGCTGACCCCGGGCCTCCCTCGACACTGTGTAATCAATAGCAGGGCGCTGGGTGTGCCCGATCCTGGGAGCTGGGCCTCTGTCCTCCAGTTCACTGACACACGAGAGTGTCCGTGCACCTGTCTGTCACAAGAGAAAATAACCTCAGGCTGCCTTAAGGATGTCCCTGAGCTGCAGCACCAGCTGTGACAAAATCATCATCAAAAATCAATGTGCTGGGCTGGCCCAGTAGCGCAGCGGTTAAGTTCGCACATTCCACTTCTCGGTGGCCTGGGGTTTGCCGGTTTGGATCCTGGGTGAGGACATGGCACCGCTTGGCAAGCCATGCTGTGGTAGGCGTCCCACATATAAAGTAGAGGAACATGGGCACGGATGTTAGCTCAGGGCCAGGCTTCCTCAGCAAAAAGAGGAAGACTGGCAAATGTTAGCTCAGGGCTAATCTTCCTCAAAAAACAAAAAAAAATCAATGCGCTGAGTGGCCAGTTTGTTGAATTTGCCACATTTACCAATTCACTAAAAAAACCTTTCTCTAAAGCATCTGAAAAGACTGTGGCGATCTGTATAGCAGCATTGTCATAGCAAGCAATTTAAAAAAAAAAAAAGAATGATGAAATGTTGACTCTGTTAGCACTTGAGGGGCATCCGGCTTAGGCTGGGCTCCGACTGACAGCCGTTCCGGCGCCACCAGCTGGGAAGGTCTGTGACCCTGGGGCTTCGGTCAGGCTGCCTTCCTTCCCGGTGTCCTGAGACCATCAGAGAGCAAGCTCCTGGGGAAGACTGGGGACGTCTTGTGGGAAGGTCCCTGGAGCCTGGGAGTGGCCTGCCCATCCCAGAGACTGCCACAGCCTGAAAGCTCTGTGCCACCCTCCCTGGTCTGAAGTCCCGCAAAATAGCATGACCCACAGTGGGAGACAGGGGTGCAAGGGGCCCAGAGAGATTCCCCCCGACCATAGGGCCATCCTTATCTTCAGGAAGGGAAGGGGCCCAGACTGAAGGGATAAAGTTTACCCTTCGAGGACCGCGAGTGTGAAGACTCAAGGGTCGGGGCAATGTTGGGTGGTTCCAAGGCAGACCCAGGGTGGACATAAGGGCCCAGGACAGTGGACCCTGGAAGCAGGGAGGTGGAGAGGGCACCCAGCCCGTCCTGCCCTGGACCATCAGAGAGACTCGGATCGGTGGTCTGGCTCCTGGTGGTTATATTTGTTAGCCACAGCTGCATAACGAAACAGTGCCCACTTCGGTGGCCCAGAACAATAAGTATTTACCATTTTCCATGAGTCTGGAGTTCAGCTGGGTGGTTCTTCACGTCTTGGCTGGCTCATTCTTTCTTCCCAGGGCTGGAGAGGCGGTTCTGCTGATCATGGCTGGGGTCTCTGACATATTTGGGGGGCAGTGGTCTGTAAGTCTAGGACGGCCTCAGCTGGGCAACTGAGCTCTCTTCCACGTGGTCTCTCATCCGCCATCAGGCTGGCTCAGACTTGTTCACCTGGGGCTGCAGGGCGCCACCCACATGAAAGGAAGCACCTGAGGCCTCTTGAGGCCTCAGCACTGGGCACCTGCCATCTCCACCGCACACTATTGGCCACAGCAGGTCCGCAGGCCAGCCAGCCTCAAGGAGCAAGGAAACAGACCCCTATCTCGATGGGAGCAGCTGCAAAGTCTCATTGCAAAGGAAGGGTGGAGAATTGTGACCATGTTTGTAATCGGTCAACCACAGTATTTATTGTAGGGGCCAGAGAAGACAGTCTTGGGGTCTGAGATTGGGGATGGGGGTGGGCACGGAGGGGAAACAGTGTCAGGAAATCATGGTCTTCCATCAGAAATGCCGGTGGAAAATTCTCACAACATGACATTAATAAAAAAGAGTAGTTTGCACTGTATATTACTATGATTATCCCTATGGGAAAATGAAAGCACTTTCAAATAGGAGCAAAGACTAGAAAGAAATCCACACCGATATTAGCATTTATTTATGATGGAGACATGAGGCTATGGGTGAATTATGATAATTAAATTTATTTTTTGTATAGCTAGTGGTTGTATAGCAATTACTACGCAGCATGTACAGCTGCTAATTCACTTAATCCTCACAATAATCCTAAAAGTTAGATACTATTACTATCCCCATTTTTACAGATGAGGAGCCAAAGCACAGAGAGGTTAAGTAATTTGTTGAAGGTCACACAGCTAGTAAGCAAGTGGTAGAGCTGGGCTTTGAATCCAAATAATCTGGCTCCAGATTCTGTTCTTGACTATCACACTGCCTTGAATATAGTAATAACCTGGAAACAGAAGGAGAAAAAAGAATACTCTCACTACCATCACTTAACACTTCTCATTTGTATTTCCTTTGTTTTTTTCATCTAAACATGTTTACCCAGTTTTATTTTTATTGTACCTCATTTTTTAATTTTTTAAAATTCATGTTACATCATAAGCATTTTTCTTCGTGTTGCCACATCGTCTTCATATCACAGGGTTTTATCTCCATTAAATGTTTCCATCACCATGAGGCAACCTTACTCATTAACCATTTCTGTACTGTAGGATATTCAGATTATTTCCAGAATGAATTTTTCTGCGATTCAAAACAAAACTGTAAAGAATAGCTTCGTGCACGCAGGCTTTTCTTTCTTGTGGCTTATTCCCCGCATAAATGGGACTGGTTTGTCAAAAGATGCGGACTTTAGCTTTGACATACCTGCTGTCTCGTGGGAGCCAGCCTGAGGCACCAAGGGCCTGCAAGACCCTGTGGGTGGTCCCCCTGTCCTGCCCCAGCCGTCAGACACAGGCCTCCAGACCCCTCAGCTGCAGGGCACTCTGCTCTGGGTGGACCTAGGTGAGCAGGTTAGCTGAGGGGACTGAAACAGCCTGGGTGGTCACGCTGGCCACGACAGGCCCCTTCCGGGCCTCCAGGAAGGAGGGTAAGATCTGATTCTTGCTTTGATTTTTAAAAAAATCTTTGTGTCTAGAAATCAATCTTAATTGTGTTTCCCCTCTCTCCCCTTCTGGCTCTGCCTGCCTCTCTGCCTCTTGTCCTGTCTTGTCCTGTCTTTCTTGTCCTGCCTGCCCATTGCTCCTTCCCAGGACGCCCTTCGAAGATCTGCAGACCGTGCAAGTTCAAGCCAGAGGCCCCCTGGGTGGTACCTGGGGCCCTCCCACAGGTGTAGAGCCCCCACAACAAGGCTCCACACAGCTGGGATCTTCACACCACTGCCCAGAAGCCTCCGGTTCCCCCAGGGTACTCCCCTTGAAGCTGAGGCTGATGGCAAAGATCCCAAGGGCTCTGGCCCCCGGAAGCCTCTGTCCATGAACCATAAGTCTCATCTCTTAAAGACATGAAAATTCTTGCCTCCCATCTTGGCTTGTGCCCATGCTGCCTTTTAGAAAAGCCTGAACCAGAATCTTCAGAAAACCACAACATGGATTCAAAGCTCACAGCTTTGGAATGCCTGTCTTGCTGTGTGGCCTTGGACAAGTAACTCAGCCTCTCTGGACTCATGTTGGCTTCAAAAATGTCAAATCCAGTAAGAAAAAAACATCTAAGGAAGGCCCTTCAGTCGCTGGCACTAATGGGTTTCTCTCACCGCTTTCAACATTCATGGCAGTGAGCTGGGATGTTGGAAGGCTCATCTCAGACAGCAAGGACCCTGGGAAAGTCCCAGAACTCCAGATCCTGGCCCCAATCTTGCCACCAACCTTCAGAGTTATTGTAAGCTAGGCTCGGCCCACCTGGCCCCTCCAGGGCTGATGGTCAAGATTCCACCGTGACCTTGGGCAGCTACAAATCCAGACTTCCGAGCCTGCCGGGGTGCAGGGTAGCAGGCACCCAAGAGCGGCTGGGGGACCACAGAGGCTCGAAGTCCTAGCCCCCAGCTATCCCTCATCCATGGCCCCTGTGGGAACCCCTCCCTGACTTCCTGATGTGAGTCTGCTGGAAAGAGCAGTCCAACAGACAAACAATAAATAAGTGAATAAACACGATGGTGGCGCATCCTTGTTTGAGAAAGTCGGGGAGGGCCCGACCCACGACGTTCTGCTAGAGGAACCCGTGCCCCGGAACCTCTCCTGCTGGCCACCCCTTTGTCCCAGCACAGTCTAACCAGGAGAAGGGCGAGTGGGGAATAGTGACAACAGTGACAAGGGTCTCCTATTGAGGGGGACATGCCAGGACTCAAATCCCAGTGGTGCGCAGGATTTTCTGCGTGACCTGGGCAAGTCAGCTCCCTGTTCTGTGACATGAGGAGCACAGACCTCTCCAGGAGGCTGACGTGAGGCTCCAGCACGTGGACAGGTGTGCAGTGCCCGCGAAGGGCCTGGCACACGGAGGGGCCTGGATCGGGGAAGTCCCTGCCTTCCCCCGCCCCCACCCTGGGGGAGTGTCTACACCCACGGTGAACGCAGAGCGCAGAGCTGCAGCTCCGGGGAACAGATGGCCCGGGTCTAAGGGGCTTATCTCTCAGTGGAGCTCCCTTCTAATCCGATTCCCCCGGGAAGGTGAGAAGCCTCTCCTCACGGATGTGTCTGAGGCCCCATCAGGTGTGAGGCTGACGGCGGAGGTTCCCTCGCATGGAGTTCTGGGGACAGGGGCCCCAGGACAAGCCGGAAGTCCTTACCTCGTCGTAGGCCAGACCTTTCCCTTCCCTTCAGAAGCCGTGTTCACGGGCTCACCTGCTCATCTGTTCCCGGGGCAGGAAACACTCAGACGGAACTGGGTTCTGAGGCTCAGAGGCAGACAAACAGGGTCCCCGAGGGCTGAGAGGCAGTCGCTGAGCCCCCAGGGAGGACAGAGGGTGGGGGGGTGTAGAGGGGGAGAAAGATGAGGAGCTGACGTTTGAACTGAGGTATGGGTCCCGGCTGGAGAAGTGGGGGTATGAGTGTGTGTGAGTGTGAGTGGGTGTGAGTATGTGGGTGTGAGTGTGTGTGTGTTGGGTGCAGTAAGGGAACCGCAAGGGCCCAGCAGGAAGATGAGCGTTTGAGGAGAATTCAACAACCAACAGCACAATCGGGGGACAGGGGCTGCGGAGGCCGGAGTCTGGACCCCCATCAGAGAGTCTGTCCTGAGGATCGTGAGGAGCTGGAGCTGCTCAAAAGCAGGAGGGGGTGCAGGGAGGGAGGGCTGTTAGGAGGGGATGGAACCAGCTGGAACCAAGGCAGGGCAGTGGGTGAGACCCGGGGGTGGGATCCGAGGGGCTCCTGGACAGCAGGGAGTGGCCTGTAGACCTGGTAGCCGACTGGGCCGTGGGGACGCGTCCACGGTGCACGTTCCTGCGCTGTGTCGCCGGGAGCCACCCCAGCGAGGGGCTCCCTGGGCTCCGGGCAATGTGGGAGCTGACTGACTCCCTTCCAGCTCCTTGTCCCTCACCTGCCTCCTCTCCCCTCCACACTCCCCCACCGTGAAAAAGTAAAGAGAAAACTCGCACCAAACTAAACGTGGGTGCTCTCGAGTCAGCAGGAAGGGTCAGTTCAAGGTGACGTGCCCGGGGGCCCCGAACAGGGTCCCTCCTTATGCTCAGGCAACAGGCCCCAGAAGCCCCGGCTTCTCTGACCGGCCCAGCAGAGAAGGGCAGCCCCTGATGCACACAGATAAGAGGATGACAGCCTGGCCCCTGGGAAGAGGGGGTGCACCATCCCCGAGGGGCAGGAGGGCAGTGCCTGCAGCTCCAGGCCACCGGCCTGCAGGGGATGGTGCTGCAAAGAGACCAGCCTCGGGCCAGGTGGGCAGGGACCCAAAGGGGACTTCCAGGAACACCAGCCCCTCCGAGCAGCAGGCTGAAGGCAGGAGGCACGAAGGGGAGCTGAAGACGCTGCAGCCACCCCCTGCTCCCTCTGTCCTTCCTCTGAGGACAGAGGGAGCCTGAGCCTGAGTCCCAGGTGCACAGAGATGCCCGTGGAGCTGGAGCGGGCCAAACGCCGCAGACCTCCCTTCCCGCCTCTCCTACGGCAAGCCACCCCAGAACTGGCAGCGTGGGTTTGAAACTGGGTGGAAGCACATCGCCTCCAATGGTAGGTGGAGTCCTCGGCAAGGCCAGGCGAGTGAGGCCGTTCAAGGCCACTGGGGGCCCCGTGAGGATGCAAAAACACCCAAACTCCTGGACATTGACTTTAAGTCACAAAGCTGGAATTCTTATGTTGCCTTAATTGACTCCTTGAAGAATGTAGACACATCGGGCTGGTGACAGAGGTGTCATTAGAGAAAGTGTGCAGTCTCCATGGCAACCAAAAGGGCCCACACTCCTCTCCTGGTGGGACGCCTGTTGTAGTCGACAGAGCACAAGCTCCAAAGAGGGACGCGGGTTCAAGTGACGGCTCTGTCGTGTGCCCACTGTGTGACATCAGACCTCTTGGAGGCGCTGGTTCCCTGTCTGTAAATGAGGGCTGGGACCACCCACCCAGGAGGGCTGTTAGGGGGAGCGATGAGAACATGAGAGATGCCTGCTCTGAAATAGAAGCCGAACGCTTCTCACAGATCCCCTCCACTTCCACCAACCTGAATGGCGGCAGGCCCTGCCCCCTCTCCCCTCCGCCCCATTCCAGATGGGGTCCTCCTGGCCCCATTCCATCCCCAGCTAGCATAGAACCCCCTGATGGGCACCAAACGAACTTCACAGCCCGTACGCCCATCACTCCTCTGATCCATCCCTGGGCTTATCTCAGAACAGACTGTCCAGGGTAAGCCACTTTCCAGCGTCCTGCCAGAGCCCACGCCCTGGCTGGTTAATGTTCACGCAGGACCCCACACGTGACAACCGGAATGGCTCCATCGCCGTTTTCCCTGCCTTGAAAACATCATAAAACTTGCAGGATCTGGGTGTGTCTGGGACTCTTGTCTGCTCTCCCAAGCGGTGGCTGGACCTTGCCTGTTAACCAGCAGCCTCGTGACATATGGACAGCTCCAGAGGCCATTGTCAGACTTGTTATCAACAGCTCCCTATCTGGGAAAGGTCTTTGGCTCATCTGCTATTTCATCTGTCAAACTGCACTGCCCCTCAGGACTTGCAAAGTGTGCGCCAGGAGGTGGGAGGTGTCAAATCACAAGATTCAGAAGTGAAAAGGTCCTTTTCCTCATCAAAATGCAACCATTTTTGGGGATGTAAATTGGTGCAGACACCATGGAAAACATTATGGTGATTCCTCAAAATATTAAAAATAGAACTACCACAGGATCTAGCAATTCCACTTCTGGGTATCTATCCAAAGAAAATAAAAACACTAATTTGGAAAAAAAAATGCAACCATTTTGCTTCTTCAACTCAATGTTTGAATATACTGTGGATATAAACACTTACACCTGGGTCGTGGTCGCCACCCCTCCCTAATGTCTTTCTCTCGGCCATTTCACATATTTCTATTTCCTGCCTGGCTCAGCATCCATTTCAGTTTCTATGATCAGTTTATGGATGGATGGAGGGGGAAGGAGCATGTCAAAGGCATGCAAAGGGTCAGTTGTTGACTAGGACCAGAAACACAGACTTATGACATTCTCAGGTACCCCTTCATTCATTCATTTATTCAGTCATTCCTTCAGCCAATCAACAACCACCCACTGAAGAACTACTGTGTGATGGGCCGTGTGCTGATACAGAAGCAACCTATGCCTGAAACACGGACCCTTCCCTAAACGGTGCAAGACATCGAAACAGACAGATTTCAGTACCATCGTCTTTTAAGGGCCCTGCTGAGGCCCCAAGCAGGGACCAGTTCTGTTTGGGGACAGAAATGTGCCAGAAAAAAAACCTTCCAGGGGAGAAGACTTTCTGTGGTGTGTCCCCTCCCCAGGCTGAGACAGCAACGGAGACAACTGTAGAGTGAAAACAGTCACTGTCAGGGCTGGAGCACCTGCCTGTGAATGCCACGTGGACCAAGAGCCAGCAATACTGCCCCGGAGTCCCAGCCAATGGGGTACTAGCACCAGCTAGATGGGTCCTGGGGACAGGTGGCAGCCCCAGACTGCCTTAGGCGGATAGGGGATGTCGTCCCTATGACAGAGGAAACTGAGGCAGCCACACTCCACCTGGCCTGGACACAGTGAGGGGGCAAAGGGAAGCCACATGTCAGAGTAATGGTGTCCAGGGCTCCCCAGGCCCGCCGAGCCCACAGCTGAGCTTCTAGTCCCAGAGGGACTCCCAACTTCCTGCCAGGGGGGTACACCCTGGCCCAGACCTGCAGAGGACGGTCTGAGGGAGGCTCACCCGGGCTGGGATAGGTGTCCAGAGAGGGTACATCCAGGCCAGGAACATCCCCTGAACATAGGCCTTCAGGCTCAGCACTAAATCCCACCCTGGACCAAGGCTTCTCCATCACGAGCCGTCATTTTGTCGGAACTTGGCAACTGGACAGAATAGCTCAGGATGCCAAGTACCAGGGCAGAGGTCAGTCTGCCAGAGGGTCACACTGAGACAGCTGGGGCAGAAGCGAGGCACAGGAGACCTGCCCTCTGCCCCTCCTAGGTCAGGGCCGTCAGGAAGATTACCCCGAAAGCAGGTGCCTGCTGCTCACCGCCTCCTCGGCACGAGAAGGAGCCTGGAGAGCTCCTTGCCCCATCTCTCTTGGTGCAAGTGAGCACACACATGCTGGGCATGCGTGTTTATATGAGGCGATGTGAGCAGATTCACACATAGATGGGTATACATGCACGTGTGCACAAATGGGTCTGCGAATGGGACTAGAACGCGTGTGTGTCTGTGGGCAGCTGTGTGAATGTGTGCATGTGGCAAGGCACTGATGCTTAGCGCACTGAGATCAGATATGGGCGAAGAGTCACAGAGCCCGGGTTGGCGTGTTGGCAGGTGGAGCTAGAACACACGCGCACGGCCAGGCTGGCAGCTGACACTCCCACTCACCGACAGCTGGACCAGCTGCTGTACGTCTACCTGAGGAAGCGTCGTCAGAAACCCGACCCAGAGATGACCTGATTTTGTATTTCACTGCAGGGGCCGAGGCGAGGAGGCCCCAGAAGAGAGGGAGCTCGTCACCCTGCAGGGTCTCAGGGGTGGAAGGCAAGGTGACGGGTGCAGCCGAGGCTGCCCATGTCTGCGGGTGAGGGCCAGGCTCCGTGACTCACAGCACGTTGAGCCCTTGCTTCCCAGCCACGACAAACCGAGCCCTCCAGGTGGCTCCCAGGCCCACCACACTGCAAGGTCAAGGTCAGGGTCCATGGGGAGGATCTCCACGAAGAGCTGCTGTTTTCTCGAGTTCTCAGGTGCTCTGAGGACACGGGCTAGTCTAGAGGGACCAGCGCATCCTAGTTTACCCCAGCCCATCCTGGTTTTAGCAGCGGAATTCCTGGAAACGCCCTCCACCCCAGGCAAACCAGGACGGCTAGTCACTCAGGGTGGTCTCTCTAAGAGAAAGAATATAAACTACAAACACAAAATTAGGGCTATGGAAGGGACTGTGAGCCAGGGGCTCGGGACCTGAGGCTTCAGGAACTTCATAGTCCTCTTTCTCTGCTGCGGAACTTTTTTTAGAGCCAGCCCAAAATGGATGTGAATCCAGGCCCTGTTCCTCACTGGCTGTGTGATCCCAGGCAAGTGACTTACCTTCTCTGTGCTATAACTTCTTCCTTTCTAAAGCAGAGACAATCACACCAGGAGAGGCTGTGCTGGTTCCATGAGATAATGTGGGTGACAGTACACACACACACACACACACACACACACACACACATATAGATATACAATGTTTGGGGTGCTCCCCTATTGCTCTCCAGTGCAAGTCTATTGGACGGAGTGAACTGAGGAGTGAACTGAAGAGAGAGGAGTCGAAGGCCCCAGAGCCACTTGATGGCAGTGAAGATGGACACACAGAGCTGGCTCTTCTCAGCACACTGACCTCTGCCTCCAGCAAACAGGGTGATCTGCAGAAAGCCTGTTCCTCATTTCTTTACGGCACTTGTGGAACGCTGGGCTTGCCTTTGTCCCAGCATTTTGTGGCACAGAGATGCAGGAATGCCTGTGCAATTTAAAGTGCATCTTTGCAGCCAAAGGGTCAAGCCCAAGGGGATTCAACAAGAAGAGTTTTTGGTCAATTGGGCCTGAAAATTGCTGAGCTCTCTGGACCACTGATTCATCTTCTCCATGTCCTGCATCCCTAACTCTTGCTGACAGTAGATCTAGGAGGGCTGCCCAGGGATGGGGATGCTCTGCTCCCGGGAAGGCCCCTGGGGAGGAACATTGAGACCCCAGCAGTGGAGGCCTCTCCGAGGAACACAAGGGGTCTCTGGCTGCTTTTCCAACTGAACTCCAGTGTCAGAGCAAGAGAACGAGGTCCAGCCTGGGGAAATTTACCAGCCCCCAGAAAGGATCCTGAGCCTACCTTCTTCTCCTAGGTGTCATCATCCAGGGCCCCCAGGGCAGCACCTTGCTTTTCCTGATCATCATCCAGGGACGGGGAGCTCACCCCTCCTGGGGTGGTCCATGCCTGCATTGGCCAGCTCTGTTAGCAAGTCTGTCCCAGGATGGGGCTTGAATCTGCCTTCAAACCCAAACGCTCCCCCTTCTTTGCAAGGCCTGACTGGGTCCGCTGCTTCTCACGGTCACCCGCTGGGGACCAGGATGTGTGAGGGCAACTTCCACCTCCCATCTTAGTGGAGACTTGTCTGCCCTCCCTGCTGCCCAGCACAGTGTGGGCCCCTTCTGGGGAGTCCATTCCATCCTCTGGGAGAGCTGGCCTGGCCTGGGGTATTGAGATCCCCAAGAGGCGGGCCTGATAACCCCCCACCATCTGCTCCTCTCTGGACCACTACCCTCCTCTTTGTCTCTTGATCTCACCCCCAAAGCCTTCAGGGACACTATTCCTGGAACCCCCTTGGACTTCTAAGGCCATGTGCTCCCCAAAGCCCATCCACCCTTCTTCTCCCCTGCTCTCATTTCTCCTGGAGACCAGAAGGAGGGATCCCTCCAGGCTGAGGCCGGCCTGTTCCACAGTCTGCAGTGCTCAGGCTCAGAGAGGGCGGCAAATCCCTGAAACTCACACAGGAAGTTCAGAAAAAGGGAAAACTCCGGCAGAGCCCAGTCCTTCCAGAACTTGGAGACGCTGAGAAACCCCACTTTTCCAGTGCGAGGCTCAGGGCCACCAGGGGCAAGGCACTTCGCTCTCTGCGCAGGGCTCCCAACTGCGGACCTGGGGTCCCCTGGCTCCTGCGCCCCACACCTGGGCGAAGGGGGCGTGGTGGGAGAGAGGGGCTCCCCGTCACGGCCACCCCCTCCCGCTGCTGGGAGCCGGGCCCTTCGGCTCAGCTCCCGCTAATTGGTCTCCTCAGGCGGCCGGCGGGCGCTCCAGCTGCGCAGATCCGAGAGCAGTGTCATCGGCTTAGCGCCCTCGCGCCACCCAGCGCTCCCGCCCGCGCCCCTCCCGCCGCCGCCCCCGCTGTCGTCGCTGCCCTCCTCGCCCAGGGATGCTCCGCGCTCCTGCGCCCGGCCGGCGACACCACCCGCCCGCGGAAACATGAGGCGCGGCCGGTGGGCCGCCCCGGCCCTGGAGCTGCTGTTCCTCTGCCTGGGTGAGTGGGGGCGAGGGCAGGCGCCCACGCTCCACGGGGGAACCCAGAGACACAGTTCTGGACCGTTCACTTCCAGAATGGGACTCGGGATGGGGGAGAAGGAAAGGATGGGGATGTGGCGGAGGAAGGGCAGGGGGCGATTCTTCCAGTCGCCACTGGAAGAGGGGCGCTCCCGGAGCGTCTCCTGAGGCCGGTTCTCCGGAGCTCCGGGATTTGGGACCAGGACCCTCGCTGCCCTCCACTTCTTCAGAAGCAGGGCAGGAGGTGTGGGGGCCGCTTTGATGGCCGCGCGGCGCAGGGGAGGGTGTCCCCGTGCCCCGTGTGACCTTGGCCAGGACACTGCCCTTCTCTGGGCGCGGGGTCCCGGTCGGCTCGTTGATGGGGTTGAGATTGGCCGCTGCCTGGCGGCTCAGCGCCGCAGACAGACGGTGCCTGTTCCTGGCAAGTCCGAGCCCAACCCGCGCCCGCGAGGGGTGGTGGCGGAGCGACCCTCTCTGCGCCTCTCCAGCCGAGCCCGTCGGTGGTCGCTGTGCCGGGGTTGGGGAGGGAGCGCCCGTCCGCCCACGAGTGGGGCCGGACGCGTGACCATGCCGGTGCGAAGCCGTCCCTCCGCATGTCCGGTTGTCTGTCTGTTCTGTCCGCGTTCTCTAACCAGCCCAGGCCAACTTTGCCCCCTACTTCTTCGACAACGGGGTCGGCAGCACCAACGGAAACATGGCTCTGTTCAGCCTTCCAGAGGACACTCCCGTAGGTGAGTGGCCCTGGTACCGGCCCCCCATCATTCTTTCGGAGGGACCCCGAGCGCAAGGACCAACCCGTGACTCCTCCGAGCCGGTGGAGACACCGAGCGCCGGGCTGCGCGCTCCCGCGGGGCGCCCTGTTTGCGCTCCGAATTCCCCCGGCCGGTGCAGGAAAGGAGGTCACCGCTGCCATGGAGACCTGAACCGGGACGGTCCTGGAGCCCCGGCGGGCCAGAGACAGGGCCAGCCCCAGGCGGCAGGCGGCAGTCCCCAGGATGGTGGTTGGCGCCGGCTTGGCCACAGTGCGGCCTCTTGACCACTGTGCCACCTTGAGCAAAAGTACTTACCTTCCAGAGCCTCAGGTCTCTGGGCTTCAAAACAGCCCAAGAACATGCAACTTGCTGGGATCTGCAGAGAGAGACGGAGAGAGACAAAGAGGAGAGAGATTTGCATCTCCTCTGCCTCCCCCTGTGGGCTGGGAACCCTGAGCAAAAGGACATGCAGTGTAAAAGCAGCACCTGCTCCACGATCCCTGAGGACCCAATTCGGGCACCGGGGAGATGTGGCACCTGGGTCACCCTTCCTGCCTTGACGGCTCCTCCCTCTTCCCTTATCCCCCATTCCCAGGGAGCCCGGGTCTTGGCTCCTGGGCTAGGAGTCATCACCAGGCAGGGAGCCTAGAGTTCAGTCCCGCAGCCCTGAAACTCCTCTGTAATCTGTATTATAGATTACAGTCTAGTGGCTGATACGAACATCTGACTGACAGTTGTGAAGAATAAGGATCGAGCAGGAAGCCGCCCCGGCAGCAAGTGCTCAGCTCAGGCTGAAACCTTTGGCGCTGAATTGCATATTCACTGTGTGAACAGTCGAATCTTTGGTCCTGAGCAGCTGCCACTTTTAGGAAAAGTCGAGTCCCAGATTCTAGGTGCCCTCTCTCTGTTTCCTTTCAGGCTCTCATGTGTACACCCTGAATGGGACAGACCCGGAGGGAGACCCTGTCTCCTACCACATCAGCTTCGACCCCAGTGCTAGGAGCGTCTTGTCTGTTGACCCCAATTTTGGAAACATCACTCTGATTGAAGAGCTGGACAGAGAGGTATGGGGAGGTGCGAATTGCACTGCCTGCGGGGTGCCCTGACAAACCGCTTGTGGGCTGGAAGGTCCCCCAGAGGGGTCCTTGGAGAGGTCCTGGAAGCCACACAAAATTTAGACTACAGATCCAGTTGGAAAGAGTGGTTTAGAGAGTAGGTCTGAGTTTGGTAAAACTCTACCTGTGTGCACCCTTCTGAGCCTGTGGGTGACAGGGCATGGTCTGTATTTCCCTCTTGAGACCCCACACCAGGCTGGTGGCTCTGGCTGGCCACATAACTGGACCTCAGCTGCAGGGACTTCTGCCAGCTCTGGTCCGTAGCTGATTCCGCCAGCCGCAGCCAGGGCAGAGAAAAGAACGGGTGGGTCTCAGTGACTGTGCTGCCCCTCGCTGGCCCCCCCGGGGACCTGGGAACCCCGACACCCTTCCTCATTGAGGTCCTACCATGTCCTGGGGAGTGCTGGAGACACGGCAGACCAGGACCTCTGTAGACTGTGGAATACGGAGAGAGAAGTGGGAGAGATAAGGGGGAGAAAAAGGAAAAGAAAAAAAAGGGAAAAAACCTTCTTCCTGGGACCTCCAGTGCCCTAGGTTAGCACCTCGCCTCATTCTCGCAGGGGAGCGTTTTCTGTTGGCGCCTCAACAATCTCTCTGGGTTTATGGGAACCTCTGACGTCCCAAGCCCCGAAACAAGGTCTCAAGGGTGGTCAGAGGCAGCTTTTGGCGGCCTCCCCCTTCTCTAGGGCTCTCTAGAAACACCCAGGGCTCCTCTGATGGACTCGGTTGGGCGGGGGGGTGGGGGTGGGGGCGCTCCCCATAGCCTCGGGGGTCCTCATGGTGCTTCGGGTTCTTGGATGCTCACTGGGTCCTTGTGCTTAGCAGAGGGAGGATGAGATTGAAGCCATCATCAGCATTTCTGACGGCCTGAATCTGGTGAGTGCACGCCCGAGCCAGCCCCCGGCAGCAGGCAGCTCCCTGGCCTGAGCACAGTTCCTCCTCCAGCCTCCTGGGGGGCTCCTGGGCAAACCCAAGCCGGAACGGAGCTAGATCAGCCTCAGTGTGCCCCCAGGAGGGGGCTGCAGCCAGGGAGCCCAGTGGGGAAGGAAGGGAAGGAGAGAGCAAGATCCGCCAGCTGCACCTCTGCTGGACCGCACCCAGATTCCACAGCACCCGCTCGAACCTGCTTTACCATCTGCCTCCCCCGACCTGGTTCTTGGCTCTCCCCCATCCCCCGAGCTGAACACCTGGGCACGCAGACCCCTCCTTCTCCCTCACCTCCTTCCTCACAGCCACCACTTTCCCCCAGCCCTCATCGAGGGGCTCCCCTTCCTCGAGGCTCCCGGACCCCAAGTTTAGGCATCACTGTGGATCAGAGACCCAGCCGTGACCCAGCTCAGAAATGCACCAACAGCTGGTCCCCAGGGCCCTGAGGATGAAATCTAGCTTCAGTCTGGCATTCAGGGCCTCCCCATCGAGCGCCACCTGCCTCGCCCACTTTTTCTCCTGCATTCACCCTACCAACCACCCATCCGTAGATCCACTCACGCTCTCTGCTCTCTGCGTGCATTCCCTCCTCTTCACCTTTGTGCATGTTGCTCCTCTTTCCTGGCACACCTTTCGACCTCTTTCCCTCCCGCCCCACAGTCTGCTGCAGAGCTCAGTTCCCACCCCTCGGGGAACAGTCCCTGTTGTCCACCCCCACAGGCTGGGGTGGCTGCCCCTTCTCGGGGCCTCCTGGACTGTGCACCCACAGCCCCCGGGGATGCATGTACCTCAGCCACGGGGTGCGCGGTGCCCCTGGAATCAAGCAGCCCAGGGGCCCCGCCCTCATTGCCTGGCATGCCTCTGCTATCTCCCTGAATGGTATCACCACTGTTCTTTTATACATTGGTCTTGGCCACCATCCCATCCGGGAAAATGCACACCATCAGACTGTGTCTTCTGTCTCCGGAATGGAACACGGTGCTTGGCACTGAGAAGTTGCTTAATAATACTTGTTGCATGAATGAAGAAAAGAGGGCAGGAAGGAAGGAGGAAGGGACAGAGAAAAGGAGGGACAGAGAGAGGAGGGATGGGCAGAGACACACACCTGGGACATCAGAGGTCACTGTCCCTTTATCACCCAGAAGGTTTCACCGCCCCCACCCCTGTCCCCTTCGCCCCTCTCAGGTGGCAGAGAAAGTCGTGATCCTGGTGACGGATGCCAATGACGAGGCGCCCAGGTTCACCGAGGAGCCCTACGTCGTCCAGGTCCCTGAGGTGAGCAAGGGGCTCTGGGAAGGGCCGGGCACTCTCGCCCCAGGCCCATGGCCTGCCCCCCTGGGCTGCCCTTCACCTGGCCGTGGGGACGGGTGTCTGAGTAAGGAGCACTTACTACCCGCTGGAGAGCACCTCCCCCACCTCCATTGCCGTCCCCCACACATTCATTTTTATTCCAAAGGGATGTTCATTCACCGTTTCCCATTGTAATCACAATGTATGTTTATTGCCGAACTGGGAAATATGTAGAAAAGTAGGAAAGAAAAGAGTTTCAAAAATCACTCTCCATCCCTCCAACTTGAGACAGCACTGCTAAATTTTGGTGTGTTTCCTTCTAGTCATTTTGTGACTGTAGGTTTTTATTTTCTCTTCGTTTTTCATGGTCATGAGCGTAGTGAACACAGGTGTCCTCTTTTTCACTTGATTTATAAATAAGCATTTTCCGCAGTAATTATAAAGCTTGGGTAACTCACTTTAAGAGCTTCCACTGGGTGTATATTCCATCATTTACTGAGCTGTTCTCTTACATTTGAATAATTAAGATGCTTCAAATTTTTGCTGCCATAAGAAACATTAGATTCTGAATATACAAGTTCCTTTTCTCTAATTGGCATGGTTTCCTTAAGACGCAGTCCAGGGTTTGGAATTACTAGGTGGGAAGCACGAACACCTGTGAGGCGAGGCCAGACTGCTTTCCCAGAATGGCCTGTCTGCCCTTCCCCTGGGCTGAGGGAGAGGGTTCGTGTCCCTGTCCCTCGCCAACACTGGGGATTCGCAAAGTTTTAAATGTCTGCTGACTCCGTAGGAGAAAGACATTTTCTTCTGGCTCTGTGTGTGTGTGTGATCCCCGGTGATGCTGAAGATGCTCATGTTGATTACCGTTCTCCCGTTTCATCCTCGTTCCATCTCTGAACGCTTCATCCATCTCGGGTCCCAGTTTTTCTCTCTCTCTCCCTGACGCCATCCTCGGGGAGGACATCTGGCTTCTCCTCCTTTCCTTTCCCTTCTTTCCTGCACCACTCTGACTCTGGGTGTCTCCTCCCTCTGTCGGGTGCTCCCTGGGTTGGTCACCACCTTGTCACCTCTTCTTAGCTCCTCACTCCCCTGACCCCACCTCCCATGGCCCCCAGGACCCCTAGCTCTCTAAGCATTCTGTGTGCTGACCCCCCGTGGCTGTGACCCCTCAGGACACGCCTGCCGGGAGCAGCATCTTGAAGGTCCATGCGGTGGACAAGGACACAGGGTCTGGAGGGAGCGTCACCTACTTCCTGCAGGTAAGGTGGGGCACACAGGACAGAACCAGAGGCCTGGGCCAGAGGGGACACCTGGATGGCCCCCACCCCCAGCACCAAACCCTTTTGTCGGTGCCTCCGCTGTTCCCAAAGATCATTAGAGATGCCACCTCAGATCCCCACTGGGTCTCCGTAAACGCAGGAGTGGGATGGACAGGGGGACCATAAGAGGGACCCGGCAGGAGCTGCCGTCCCCCGACTGGCCCATCCTGGCTCCCTCTGAGTGGGCCTGCCTCCCTCTCCCCACATCTCCAGGACCCTCAGCTCTGCACCCCCAGCCCCTTCCCCAGGAGAAGGCCCTGGCACTTGGCACCCAAATGGGGTGGAAGAAACCTGCCTGGGCCTAGAATTGTCAATAGGAAAAAAGAGAGAAGGGGCAATTCTTGGAAGAGGCAATCCTTGGAATGACGTCCCACCCCACCCCTGTCCACCTGTCCCCCGTCAAAGGCGCAGCCCCTCCCTGCATGGCCCCCCGACCCCCGCCCCAGCTCCTCAGGAACCAGTGGTCCTCCTTCACCAGCTTGCCGTTTCTGTAGCATTTCCTCTGCTCTCACATTTCATCACGTGCTCTCACAATTTTCAAGGCAGTGTAGCGCAATGGCTAAAAACACAGGTTCTGGAGAAATCCCTTGGCTCGTTGGGTACTGGAGAGACCCCACCGAATCCCCTCGTGGGGCCTTCAACCTGTTATCTAACTTCCCCAGCTGGGGTTCCTCGAGTGTAAATGGGCGCATCCTCACTGGGTGGTTGTGAGGAATAAATAGGAGTAACGCTCCAAGACAGCAGGAAGCCTTCCTCAGACCGAGGGCCCTCTCCTGTCCCTCGCTGGCCCCCAGAAGCCACCTGGGACTGGCCCGCAGTCACTGCTTGGTGGGGCTTGAAGGTCCTGAAGGTTCCCTCCATCACTACAGCTTCCAAGCCCCCGGCCCCTCTAGGTTAGAGCACTCCACTGACATTCTACCTGCTGAAACCCCCAGGCCAGAGCTCAGCCCACAGCTGAGCAGAGAGAAGAGTGATGGCTCCACTGGAAGGAAGCTGCTTGGTTTTTGACTTTTTTAAAGACAAGCATTCTTTTTTTTTTTCTTGGTGAGGAAGATTGGCCCTGAGCGAACATCTGTTGCCAATCTTCCTTTTTTTCCAAAACCCCAGTATATAGTTGGATGTCCTAGTTGTAAAGCGTTCTACTTCTTCTATGTGGGACACCACCACAGCATGGCACAGTAGGTCTGTGCCTGGGATCTGAACTGGTGAACCCAGGCCGCTGAAGCAGTGTGCACAAACTTAACCACTATGCCACAGGGCTGGCCTGAGCTTCTTGGTTTTGACTGAGGGAGAGGGAGGGGAAGACTAGAGCCCCAGGAAGGGGGACCCTGGGGGCCAAAGAGGCTGAGTACCCTCAAGTTTGAACCTCAGCCCTGAGGCTGGAGTTCCTGTGACAAAGGAAGGTAAAGACCCCTTTTCAGTCAGCAGAGTGGGCCTTCCTGGGGCTGGCCGGGTCCCCTCCCAAGGCCCAGCCCACCCCTCACTCTTACAGAACACACATGCCACCAAATTCGCCGTGGACCGGCACAGCGGTGTGCTGCGCCTCCAGGCTGGGGCCACCCTGGACTACGAGAAGGCCCGGGCCCATTTCGTCACCGTGGTTGCCAAGGTAATGGAGAGGGACACTGGGGAGCAGCCTTTGTTAGGGGGAGGCTGACCCTGGGTTGGAGCCAAGTTAGGTTCCATGATGAAGTGGGGGCAGTTTGCAAAGCGAAGGTGTGACGGGGGCGGGATGGGGTGCGCCGGCTCAGAATCTCTGTTGAACGGACCCTGCGCAGACATGGACGTACCCTCCAGGGAGCTGGTGTCTGTGGGCTGGAGGGGGCCGCTTCCCTTCTAGGAGAGGGTGGACACCCCCTCAAGACTGACGGGCCAGGTTCCCTTCCATAGGACCAGGCGGCCATGGCCAGGAGATTCCTGACTCCTCACATCCCCTAAAACCTGGCTCCCCAGTACCTCCATCTCTCTGTCCAGGCTTGTTCACCCCACCTGTTCCTCTCTGTGTGGCCAGTTACCTTCTCTGAGCCTCGTCTGCCCACCACTGCAGCTTAGCTAAGTTCCTCATATTTCTGAATCGCACGGTGTGGGACCCGCAAGTCAGCAGATGCTCAGCCAGAGTGGCTGCTCCTCCTCCGGAGAGCATGAAACCCCAGCCATCCCTCTAGGCCTGGCGTTTCCCTTCGCAGGAAAGGAAGTATTGGCTACAGGCCATCCAGGAGGCTCAGGATGGCCCCACCTGCCCTGTCCTCTGTGGGCTCCATCAAACACGCTCAGAGGCGGGCCCAAGTCATGCTCTTAGTAGGTCCCCAAGAGGTGTCTGCGACTTGGGGCCTGGCTGGGAGGGGCAACTTGGCTCTGACCCTCTCCTCCTCTGCCACTAGTCGGACATGGTTTCCCTGGAGAGAGAAATAACCCTATTTCCCAAGGAAGACTTTTGAGTGCCTGCTGCATACAGGCCCAACTGAAGACCTTTATACATCATCTCATTTAATTTCCCCAACACTCCTGTGAGGGAGAATTATCTCCAGGTGACACAGGAGCAAGCAGAGCTCAGAGAGGGCGGCTGGTACGACGGCCAGCAAGTGCCGGCGCCTGTCCGACTGCAGAGCCCAAGCGCCCTCTCTCTCCCATCCTTCCTCAGGACGGCGGGGGCAGGCTGCGAGGGGCTGACGTGGTGTTCTCGGCCACCACCACGGTCACAGTCAACGTGGAGGACGTGCAGGACATGGCCCCCGTCTTCGTGGGCACACCCTACTACGGCTATGTGTACGAGGACACGCTCCCGGTGGGTGGCAGCGCCCCTTGGCCCAGTGTCCCCTGCAGAGGCCTCCTGCCCTGTCCTTCATGCTGCCCCTGGGTCCCCTGCTGGGGACAGCTAGGCTCAGCCCTGGGTCATCCTCCACACACGGAGGCTGGCTCTGGACTTGCTCAGATCCAGCCACAACAGGGTCCTTTTGCCTCGGGATGTGTAAGGGGGAAGAGGCAGGTGCTCGTGTGCATGTGGAGAGACACTGTGCCGGGCACGTCTTCACTCATGCACACCTCCCCAGCCCAGCTGCACAGGTCAGCCCCACCAAAGGGCCGAGAGGAGAGGCCAGTGGCCTCGGTTTGGGTAGGGCTTTTCCTACACCTTGTAGCGGGGGGTGGGATTCCTTGGTGCCCCCCCAGCTCCTACAGCTCCATGCCTGGAGGCTGGGGCCCCTCAGACCAGTAGGTCTCCCACGGTTTGCTGCCAAACCACCACCACCCTCGTCAGACATCGCACACAGGCCTGGCTCCAAGGCTGGCGTCGGTTTCCTTCCCCACTCAGCGCCATCTCTGTCCCCACCCCCAAAAATCTGCACTTGACCCCCCACTCTGCCCCATCCTCTGCCTGAACCATGTGGGCCTGACGCCCCTGAGCTCTCAGCTCACAGCCTCCCCTGACGTCTTTGGTGCAGATGGGAGCTGCCCGTCTCTGCTCCCACACCCCTCCGTGAGCACACCCCTCCCTGGGGGAGCCCATGTGTTTTTGTGCCCCCCAGCCAGACTGAGAGCTCCGTGAGGGCAGAGACCAGGCCGGTTCCTGAGCTCCCACAGCCTCCTCAGCTCCAGGGCTCTCTGAGGAATTGAATTGCATTCTCAATTCTCACTTCCTGGTTTCTGATGATTCCCAACTTTACAAAACAATGAAACACTTAGAGGACCCTTCACCTGCTGGGCCCAAACTAAGATGCCCCCTTTCCAGAAGCTGATACCCCCTTTCCAGAAGCTGGCAGCCACGTGCAGGAGATGAGCACCAAGAGAGGGAGCAAGGACTGCCTCCACGCTGGGGGGACCACAGGACGGGGCAGGGCCAGGCCGTCCTGCAGAGATGCTGGGCAGGAGGAGGCAGCAGCCATGAGCATGGAAAGGCCAGGGAGAGGGCCCCAGGAGGGGGCTCAGAGGGGGCCGCAGGCCAGGGTGGAGCAGGGCTTGTCTCGTCTTGGCACCCCGTGACACAGGATTAAGTCCTAGTTCCTGGACTTGCACTGGACGCCCGCCCTCTGTGTCCAGCCCCTGCCACCTGCTCACCCCTCCCTCTGGCACATCTGTAGGTGGAAGGTGGAGGAGGAGCAGTGGGGCCCAGGCTGTCCCTCTGGCGCTGGGAGCCCAGTGGGTGCTGCAAGCTCCCCGCGGGGCAGGGTGGGGTGTGCAGAGGCCCGGCTGTCTTCTTGGGCAGGGGCGGCTCCTCCCTCTGCGATGGGGGCTGTGTCTGGGGCGGGGGGAGCCCCAGCATCACCCATGGGCCTCAGGCAGCAACTCCTGTCCCCAGGGCTCGGAGGTCCTGACGGTGGTCGCCATAGACGGAGATCGGGGCAGACCCAACCGCCTGGTCTACAGCCTCGTGAATGGTGAGTCTGGGGCAGCTCTGGGGACAGGCCCATCGCTGACCAGAGCAGAGTGCCCAGCCCCCCTGGGTCCCAGCCCCTCATCTGTGGGCCAGAAAGACAAGACGTATGGAGAGGAGAGGCTGGGTCCCTCCAGGAGGCAGTAAGTCTCCCTGGGCGTGTGCTCCAGCCCTGGCTTATCACCATGTCCAGCTACAGGGAGAGAAGCATTGGTGGGGGTCCTGAGAGCCACACAGTGGCACAGATTCATGTTCCCTGCACCCTGGGCATGGGCTCATTGGTGAGAAAGGGTGGCAACATTTTTTACATTCTTGAAATTGCTATGTTTTTTTCTCATTTTTAAAAATCTTTTGGCCCAGAGCATGTAGTTGAATTAAATGAATTAAATGTAATGATACTATAACACTTCCCCAGTGCCAGCCCCATATATGGATGAAAAAACTGAGGCTCAGAGAAGCTAAAGGGGGATCCCAAGTCCCCACTGAGCTTGAACATAAGTCTGCAGTCCAGGTCTGTGCTCTTTCCACAACTGGGCAGCCACTGAGCAGGTGGAGCTGGCCCTGGGGTGGGCTCTGCAGCCCTCAGTAGCTGGTCCTCACAGGGTCAGGCCCCTTATGCACATGTCTGTATGCTCTCACTCAGACACCACAGCCTCCCCTGACCCTGTCCCTAGGACGTGCCCCGTGCACCCCGCCCTCCAGCGCTCACACACGCCCGGACATGCCCAGTGTCACATGCAGGCTCCTTTCCCCAGGCACAGAGACCCTCAGCTGCCCTCCCTCCCCAGCACCCCTGCAAACCTTCACACAGTCACCAAGCACCCACCCCACCCATCGCCCTCCTCTCTTCTCACCTCCCCGTCCAGTCTCTCTCCTCTCCCTCTCTCCTGGCTCTCCCCTCCCTCTCTCCCCTTCTCTCCTTCTCCCTCTCTCCTTCCTTATCTCTTTCGCTCTGTATCTCTTTCTTTCTCCCTTTCTCTTTCCATCACACGCACATGCACACACACACACACAATGCATAAGAGAAACAAAGTACTATGGAACCTGGGACAGAAGTGAGTCCAAGTGCCAGCTCTGTCTTAACGTGTAACCTTAGACCAGTCCCTTAGCCCCCCTGAGACTCAGCTTCCTGGCACATCTCTCCTCTGTGACAGGGAGTGATGGAGCCTTTGAAATTAATGAGACGTCTGGAGTCATCTTTGTCACGCAGAGCCCCGCCCAGCTCCGGAGAGAGGTGTACGAGCTGCATGTACAGGTACCCTCCTTCTAGCTCGGCCTTCTCCACCTTAGGGTCCTGGAAGATTCCAAAGGTGATGAGTCCCAGGCCACCTCCCTCACCCGCCCGGGCATACGGTCTGGGGAGAGAGCTTGATGGTGCTCCAAGGAGCACCTGCATCAGGCAACCTGTGTGAAGGCTGCAGCTGATAGACACAAAGCCCCTGGGCAGAGGAGCCAGGGATTCACAAGCAGAGAGTTGTGACAAGGCAGGAGGAGGGGGGACTGAAGCAGCAACGCCTTGAGCATGGGTAGGACCCAACAGGTGGAGACTGGTGGAGGGGAGCTCTGGTTGGGGTGGGGGCAGAGTAGAGGCAATGAGCCAAGGCTGGAGGTGAGAACATGTGATGTACTGGGCGTGCAAGAAGGAGTCAAGTGAGACCGGAGCAAAGAGTGTACAGACAGCATGTAGAAGGACAGACGGCTGGACCCCATGCTTGGGCCAGAGGAGTGAAGGCCTTGAATATGAGGTATGGGTTTTTCCCTGGGGCAAGGCCAGCCTTGTGGGAATGTGACCTTTGTCATTACACAAGGACTGTGATGAGAAGGGTCTCATGCTGAGCTTACTGCTCTGCTCTTGCTTGAAATTCTTAATAATTCTTTAACCAGGGGCCCCACATTTTCATTTTTCACTATGCCTGCAAATTTTGTAGCTAGTCCTTCCCGAGAGCAGTAAAGAGCCATTGGAAGGTTGTGAACAGGATAAGAGTCTTGTTAAAAAGCTCACTCTGGCTGCTGGCTCGACCAGTGGGGTTCTCAGATTTAGAGTTTGGCAAACAAAGATTTCTAGGACGCCCTCCTGGGAATGGGAATTTAGTGCATCTGGGGTAAACCCAGGACACTGCATACTCTGAGCTCCAAAATGATTCTGGCACAAGTGCCAGCCTGGCACTTGAGAACACTGGTCCCTACTAGGGTCTGGTGGGAACTGAACAAGAGGTAGGGAGACAGAGCCATCAGCCAAGGGATGGATAAAGAGGGCCCGTGAGGATGAGGAGAGGTGGAATGGCAGAAGTGGACAAATTGCAAACTATGAAGGACGCTGACTCCATAGATTGTAGCCATGAGGGTGAGGGAAAGCAGAGGGATGGGTGAAGTCCAGGCTGGAACCACGCCATCAGGAACATAGGAGAGGAGCCCAGTTCAGTGGGATGGACTTGATGAATTGGGTGCATCAGGGACATTCAAGTTGAGTCACCCAAATTTGGGCTACAGGCTTAAAATTCAAGGGAGAGAGTGCAAGCATACAGGTAGCTATGGAAGGATGGGAGGGAACAAGATGCCCCAGAGATGGCTGTGGGGAGAGAGCAGCCACTGGCCAAGAGCACAGCTGTAGGAGCATTGAGGCTAGGAGTGAGGAGGCAGGGATGGTGGGGGACAGGTGAAGGAGAGATCAGAGAGGTCGCAGGGGACCTGCCAAGAGCAGGGTCACATCAGCTCAGGGAACAGAGCACTTGGGAAGGTGGAAGAGGGGTGGTGCGGGCACAGTGTGGAAGTCAGCATGAAGTACCTGCGTGGGAAATAGGACATGCAGACAGCAGGTGTGGGCTTCTGAGGAGGGAAAGCTGGGGAGCAGCTAGGGTGTGATGGAGTGGAGTCCAGGGAGGGCAATTTTGGGACAGGTAAGACCAGAGAGTGCTTCTGGAGTAAGTGGATGGAGGCCTGTGGAGGGGCTCACATAATGCTCGTCACGTGGTTCACGAGGTGCTGGTGAACTCCCGGCCCTGGCTTTGCAGCCTGTATTTGTTATCTGTTGCTGTGGCTCCACACCTCCCCTCCCTGGCCACATGGACACAAGGACAGAATGTCTCAGGGCTAGGGTTTGAACCCATGTCTGGCTGCAAAGAGGGAGCAGTGCAGTGAGGTGGGGAGAGTACTGGCTAATGAATAGGACACACCGGAGTTCTTCCTGTCCCAGCTGTGCCACTCACTAGCCACGTGACCCCAGGGGGCTGCCTCACCCCTCTGTGCCTCTTCTGTGAAATAAGGTTAGTAACAGCACTGTATTCGTTTCCTACGGCTGTTGTAACACCTTACCCCAAACTTAGTGGCTTAAAACAACACACGTTTATATCTCACAGTTTCTGTGGGTCAGGAGTCCAGGCTCAGCTTGGCTGGGTCCTCCGTCTCAAGGTCTCTTATGCGGCTGCCATCAAATTGTCAGCCAGGACTGGGTTCTCATCTAAGGGCCTGACTGGGGAAGGATCAGCTGCCAAACTCACGTGGTCATTGGCAGGGATTAATTCCTCGTGGGCCGTTGGCTTAGAGGTGACCGTTAGCTCCTTGAAACATGGGCCTCTCCAAGCTAGCTGCTTGCTTCATCAAAGCCGGCAAAAGAGAGAATCCGCTAGAAGACAGGAGTCACGATCCCTTGTAATCTCATCTCATCTTTGCCACATTCTACCAGTCAGACGCAAGTCGCTAGGCCAGGCCACGCTTAAGGAGAGGAGAGTGCACAGGAGGTGGGGCTCATTGGGGCCATCTTGGAGTCAGCCTGCCACACAGCCACAGCCACCTGTCCCTGCCCCAGGTGACTGAGGTCAGCTTGGCAGGGAGCCCAGCTGCCCAGGCCATGGTCTCGGTCACCATCAGGATCGTGGACCTCAACAACCACCCGCCGACCTTCTACGGAGAGAATGGACCCCAGAACAGATTTGAACTGTCTATGTATGAGCATCCGCCGCAGGGGGAGATCCTGCGGGGCCTCAAGATCACTGTCAATGACTCGGACCAGGTGCGTGATCCCGCCCTCCGCCCCATCCTCCCGAAAACTGCATGAGGCCTGGGGCCCCAAGCCGAGTCTGCATCAGCCTTCACTGTGTTCGCCGCAGGGGCTGGTGGGTCACAAAATGAATGAAATGAGAGGGTGTCACCAGGAGGAGGTGGGAGAGGAGTAATCGAAGCTGATCTGTTTGGCCTAAAGACCTTCACGATCCATTAAGGAGTAAAGCCGGTCAAAAACGCATCTGCCTCTGACCCGCCAACCCGGCGTTTGTGAATGTGTCTTGTGACCCCCCTCTGCCTGGCACAGGGCCAGGCCTTATGCGCTTGTTACCCTGCTTAGTCCTCATAGTCCACTAAATCCCCCGATCCTTGATCGCCTCCCCTGTAGAAGGAAGTGGTAATACTGCCCTCCCAGGGTTCAGGCGTGTGACAGCTCCTCGCTTACCACGACTATATAATGAGTTTCTATTCTCATTCACCTTCCTTGTCTCCTCGCTCCAAATTCTATTGCCCAGGGAGCCAATGCCAAATTCAACCTGCGGCTAGTGGGCCCCGGGGGCATCTTCCGCGTGGTCCCACAGACAGTCCTGAACGAAGCCCAGGTCACCATCATTGTGGAGAACTCGGCCGCCATTGACTTTGAGAAGTCCAAAGTGCTAACCTTCAAGGTAGGTGGGGGAGGGGGTCCCAAGAGCTCCTGGCAGCCCCTGGATTCCTTCCTGAGGGCTCGCTTGTCCCTCGCTGCCCTTTTCTTCTCAGTCCCTTTGCCCCTCCTGCTAATGGGGGTGCCGGTGGGGCAGGGACAAGAAGAGCAATCCAAGAGTTGTCACCTGCTCACACGGCCTCACTGAGCTGCACCTGCTAAACCACGATTGTCCCCAGGAAGGCAAGGGGCTTCAAAGGGAAGCGACCAATAGAGTGTGCCGTGAGAATAGAGAGAGGAAAACGGGCAATTGTCAAGAGAGACGTTTTTCTCTATGCATTTGATGTGTCATCTATTCTGATCAAAACTTCAGCAGAAGATGAAAAAAATACTCCTTTGTATTTGTAATTATTCAAAATTATAAACATTTAGAAGTAATGCATTTATACATAAACATATACATAATACATAGCAATAAAAAGGAAAAATAAATACTTATTGATATTATTTAAATTATTATTAATTATACATGCTTACACACTGATTGCCAGCATCATGCTTAAAAGTGAAATTCTGGAAGAATTCGGTGAAGTTGGGAGCAGAATGTGGATGCCTTCTTTTACCACCGTAATTTAACACCATTCCTGGAAAAATGTTTTTCCTGGATAAAGAAAGGAAATAAGAAGTACAGACATTAAGAAGGAAGAGACAAAATTATCATCATTTGTAAGTGATGTGGTTGTTCGCTTAGAAAAATCTAAGAGAAATGATCAAAAAACTGTCAGCCACCCAGCAAAGCTGCTGCTGATTGGTTACAAAGTTCATACACAAGATCCCGTTGTTTTCCTACATACGAAAAATACCAATGAGAATAATGGAATAAAAAGTTCTCTTCTATAACAAAAACTAAAAGGTAAAAGTCCTGAGAATTAACGATAACAAGAAATATGCAGCATCTAAGTGACAAAAAATGCAAAATTGAACAAAGGGACGTAAAAAAGGAAAGAAACGTAAAGGCTCACGTTGTGAAAAAAATGCAAATTCTCCTTAAGTTAATACAGAATCCAGTGCCATCTCAGTGAGGTCGTACCTAGAATACCCTTCAGGGAGGTGGTGAGGGGCTTGACACCATTGCCCTGGTTTTTATCTGGAGAAATAAACCTATAAGAATAGGAAAATTCAGAAAAAAGAATATGAGGCAGGAACCTGCTCTAACAAATATTAAATTATTTTATGAAACAAAATAATTTAAAAAATTGGAACTGAAAAGGAATATGCAAATCAGCGGAACAAAAGAAATTGGCTGAAATACAAATGGAAACTCTAAGAAAGCGGGCACTGCGGGTCAGCGGGGGAAGGATGTGGGCCTTACGGGCGCCCTCGCAGTGGCGGGAAGACTAGCTGGCTGGCGGCTGAGAGTAAGAACAGGGGACGAGGCAGGCGGGGCCACACCCGTGCTGAGACAGGAAGCAGAGGCTCTCTGCCAGGGGACTGCCACCGGACAGTCCTCGTTCTCCTTCCTTCCCCAGCTCCTGGCCATTGAGGTGAACACCCCGGAGAAGTTCAGCTCCACGGCGGATGTGGTGATCCAGCTCCTGGACACCAACGACAACGTCCCCAAGTTCACCTCCCACTACTACATCGCGAGGATCCCTGAGAATGCCCCTGGGGGCTCCAACGTGGTGGCCGTCACAGTGGGTTGGGGACTAGGGGTGGGGTTGAGAGCCCTGCTGAGCAGGGCCTAATGCTGGACATCAGGCAAACCTGGGCTCCAGTTTGAACCTCAAAGCCCACACTCAGTAGCTGTGTCCTTGGACGAGCTCCTTGCCTCTCCGAGCCTCAGTTTTTTCTTCTGTACAATTGGGATAACGACACTTCACAGGACGATAAGGAGGACACGGGCACAATCCCCGAGCTCAGGGCACAGGACTCAGCTCCTTTTCCTTTCTCACTGACAAAGGGGGAGTAAAGACCTTCTAGGAGCAAACCTTTTGGTTCCTCCAACACTTGAGACATCCTGGGCAGAAAACCAGGGCTCCAGAGCAGGCCTCCAGAGCAGTTTCTCCCCAGCGGGGTCAACCCCAAGTCCCCTTGTTTTGCTACTAAAGCAGCCCTCAGACCTGTGAGCTGCCAGTGTGCCCTGACAAAGGGGCCCAGGCCACTGGGAGCTTTCTCTCTTTCAGGCAGTGGATCCAGACACAGGCCCCTGGGGTGAAGTCAAATACTCCATCTATGGGTCAGGGGCAGACCTGTAAGTAGATCCAGAATCCTGGACAGGGCCTCGGGCAAGGGACTTGGGAGGCTGAGGGCCGAGGGGCTCTGCGCTGAGGACAGGGGGAACCTGGAAAGGATTAGGAGCCTAGGTTGGGGAGGGCAACATGGGGGAGGAGTGGAGGCCAGCATGAGCCCAGAGTAGAGGGCAGCAGGGAAGCCTGAGGCAGAGCTGGGCGACATAGGCGGTGAGGTGCTGGGAGTCTCAGAGAAGAAGGGTAGTCCTCAGGGCCTGGAGCCAGGCAAGCAGTATGGGACTAGGCAGGGGCTGGCCGTGGGAGGAAAGGGAAAGGCTGGGACTCCGGTTAGTTCCATTTCGATGGATGGGCTGGAGCGTGGGGCAGGTGGGACACCTTGGAGGAGCTGCGGAATGCGATACTGTTGCTTCCCAGAGGCAGCTCATCGCTACAGACGTGCATCAGTGTGTGTGTGCTCACACGTGTGCACGTGTGTGTGCTGCGCACGCCCATGCCTGCGCCCTCTGTGCCCGGCAGCTTCCTGATCCACCCATCCACTGGGATCATCTACACCCAGCCCTGGGCCAGCCTGGATGCTGAGGCCACCGCCAGGTACAACTTCTACGTGAAGGCAGAGGACATGGAGGGCAGGTCCAGCCTGGCCGAGGTGTTCGTCACTCTGCTGGATGTCAACGACCACTACCCCCAGTTTGGAGAGAACTTCCAGGAGAAGACGATGGTGCTGGGAACCCCGGTGAAAATTGAGGTGGGCTTCAGAGGCAACTGAGCTCCCCTCACAGTCTTGTTCCAGCAGTTGCAAGAGGGACTGTGGCATAAAAATTGATTTTAAATTAAGATTTATTGGATTCCCACTATAGGCAAGGGACTTTAAGGTACGTTATTTATTCCCATCTCAACTCGGAAATAACCCCTGAGAAAGAAAATATTATTGCCACTTTACAAATAATGAAATTGAGATCCAGACAGGTTAAGTGGCTTGCCTTGGTTCACGCAGGGAGTGTGCCAGCTTCGGGAGAGCAGTGCCCTCCCACTGCACTGTCCTGTCTTCCAGTGTGGACAAAGCATGGGCTCTGAAACCCAACCAACTTGACTTTGAATCCCGGTTCCCTTCCTTCTACCTGTCCTTAGATGAGTCACCCAGCATCCACGCTTCTGTTTTTTCACAATACCTACTGCCTCGACTTGTTCTGAGAGTCGAATGGCATAACATACTAGAGGGCCTAGCATAGACTGTGGCTCATTCAGTTCCTTCCTCAACTCTAGTCCACGCAAAACAGGATTAGGACCCTCCCCCATCAACCCAGCAAGCCACATATGACCCACTGGTCTAGGCAGGGTACACAAGTATCATGCTTAAAGCCCAGCGCTGCCTGTCCCTCCTGTGCACAGGCCACAGACCAGGACGCAGAGGAGCCCAACAACCTGGTGGACTATTCCATCACTCACGTGGAGCCGGTCAACGTGTTCGACATTGATGCGCACACGGGGGAGATCTGGCTCAAGAACTCCATCCGCTCCCTGGACGCCCTGCACAACATCACTCCCAACGGGGACTGCACATGGTCCCTGGAGGTGCAGGCCAAGGACCGTGGCTCCCCCTCCTTCAGCACCACGGCCTTACTCAAGATTGACATCACGGACACAGAGGTGGGTACGAAGCCCGGGTTGGGAAGAGGGCCGGAGGGCCAGCCCAGACCTCGCTGCAGCATGGCCAGAGGGAGAGAGACCCTCTCCAGCCATCTTCCGAAAGATGCTCACTGCTGGCAAAGGCTGCCTGGGCTGTCAAACTTAGGGCTTTGGAATCGGGTTGAAATCCTGGTTTCATCACTCATTAACGATGAGACTTTGCTGGGGCTCCACGTCCCTTCCTGTAAACTTGGAATAATGATGCCTCCTTCACATGGGCATTGACAGGCAGAAGTAAAGTTGTTATACATAGTTCTCAGCTCAATGTCTGCCCGAAAGTCATCACTTAAGGGGTCCCTGAGACCTTTGGGCAGACGTGGCCCCCCACAATCAAAGGTAAGCAATGTCCTACTCTCTCAAGAGCAGAGTTCAGCTAACACAGGAGTTCGTAATCCCAACGTGCTTGCTTGCATCGCACTCTCGCTGTGTGCGTTTTTCTGGAGAGCCACGTGCATTGTATTTCCTCTGTGTGCATTTTTTTCTGGAATGGAGCCCATCGTGCTCATCTGGGGTCAGCTGGGGGATGGTGACCCCAGAAAGTTTAAAAACCATCAGGCTTAAGGGAGCTCCCGACCCCTCCAGGGAGCAGGCAGGGGCAGGAGATTGCAAGGAGGCGACTCTCTCTTCCAGACGCTGTCCCGAAGCCCTATGGCCGCCTTCCTCATGCAGACCAAAGACAACCCCATGAAGGCCGTGGGCGTGCTGGCCGGCATCATGGCCGTCATCGTGGCCATCACCGTCCTCATCTCCACTGCCACCTTCTGGCGCAACAAGAAGTCCAACAAGGTCCTGCCAGTACGGCGCGTGCTCCGCAAGCGGCCCAGCCCTGCGCCCCGCAGCGTCCGCATCGAGTGGCTCAAGTTCGGGAGGACCAAGACCGCGGCCAAGTTCGCGCTCAAAGAGGATGCTCCCAATGAGAACTGCAACAACAACAGCCTAGGGAGCTCCCTGCCCCCGGAGGCCCCAGCTCCCCCTCCACCCCCCAGCATGGCGCCCAGCACGGGTGCGGCCCACTGGACCGTGCCTACCGTCTCTGGCTCGCTCACTCCTCAGCAACCCCGACGGTCACCAAAACCCCAGGCTGCGGGAAGCCCCAGCCAGTCAGCTCTGGTCTCTGAGCTCAGGCAGAAGTTTGAAAAGAAGAATATAGATAAAAAGACTTACTTCTAGAGTGTGTCCCCGGGCCCCTCTCTTTCCCCACCCCAACTGCTCTGCTCTTGGACCCTGCCCCCCGTCTCTGCTCCTTAGGGTCACCCCTGTTTTGTACAATGATGTAACCCCCATATCCAGGGCTCTGGACAGCACCTTGGGCAAGGGATTTCTCTGGTAGCGGGATGCAACTGGCAAATCCTGCCCCATCAGCCAGATCCTTGAGCCAGCTACGATGCTCTCCATTCTGCAGAGGCTACGACTTGACAAGGGGCTGCTTCTGTGTGTCTTCTACTCACCAACCCCGGATCTCACAGCCCCTTGGGTCCTCCTGGGGCCTCAGCATCCTTCATTGAGGATCAGGGCCCTGGCCACATGTGACAAGGTCGACTAGAACCTCTACCCTGAAACCTCCTCCAGCTAAGAGCAGGAGCAGGAAAAGGTGGTTCTGTCCTGGCTAAGGTTGGGGCTCAGTGAGCTTTGTAGGCTGTAGGAGAGCAGAGGCATCGGGGAGAGCAAAGCTGCACTGAAGACTCACGCCGACTGGGGACTGTGCCTGGATGCCACTGAGAAGACGGAGGATGGTGTCCGGGCAGAGACTGGGGGCCCCTGCTCTGCCCACGTGGGACACAGAGCTGTAAGATGGGCCTTGCAGGACATAGTGAGGGCAGAGTCCCATCCAGGGCTTCCCTGGGCCCAGAAATGTCTAAGCTGAAGCCTGGTGGTAGCCCCAGAGGCATTGGGAAGAGGATCTAGGCCCTTCTCTAAGGAGCCGCCCCACCAGAAGTCTTCGAGGAGCCAGCGCAGGGCTCAGATTTGGGGAGACCATTTGTATCCGGCTCTTCTGCTCATGTGTATGACGTTGGATGGCTGTTTAAACTCCCTGCTCACCCTCTTCCTCATCTGTAAAATGAAGAAAGTGAGTCCCGGCTGCCTCACTCCCAGGTCTAGGGCGAGGGACCAGGGCTTCAACCAAGCGCAAAGCAGCACAGATGTAAGGAATTTTTCTGCAGGCTGGTTCTTGGGGGCAGCCCTTCCCAAAAGTATTAGGAGCCTGTCAGCTGCTCTGCCAAGACCCCTAGGAGGCACCGGGCCGGGTGTGGGTGCTGCCCCGGATCCAGGCAGCCAGAGCTGGATGACGGCACTGCCCTTGACTCACTCACCCCCCCCACACTCCCCCTACCATGTGCCCCGCGTGGCCCTGGCCAGTCACCATCAGAGAGGACCAGTGTTGGGCAGCACGCCCAGCCCAAGCCTCCGTTTCGCAGAGATAATGAAAATAAGTTCCCGAGACAGCAGTGGTTGCCCGAGGTTTCACAGCAGGTTGTAGGAAGGACCTGGTCTGAGCATTTCAGGCTCCTCAGTATCTCCCTCTAGCCAGGGGGCACACACCTGTCAGCTTGTGACAACCTCCCCTGGAGAGAAGACACATAGCCCTCTGTGGTTCATGCCCAGAAGCTCTGCTGAACCTCCGGGAAGCCGGCTTTGCAAGGAAGTCGAGGTGTGCACAGAGAGAGCAGCAGAACAGTCCTTGGCATTTTGCTCCACTCGTCAACGACCCTCTAGAACACATCAGTGACTTTATTAAAAGAGATGATGTGCACATGCGGTTTTCCTGATTTCTGAGCCTGTGTTCCAAGGTCTTACTCGGATGTGCTGGTGTGCAGGCTCCTTCCTCGGGTTTCTGTGGTCCCCAACCCAGGGAGTACTAAGAGGTGGGCCCTCACAAGGCCGGAGCCTAGACCGAACAGACAGGTACTTTGCAGTCCGTGCTTCCTGGGGGCGCTGCGCTGGACCATGAGCGCCCTCCGCAGGAGATATGGCATCCTTGCGATCTGCATGCCATCAACCTCTTTTGTAAATGGTAAATAAAGTCTGTTAACCAAAGGCCCAAGCTGACCTCCTGCTTCCTGCCCACATTCGTGTTAGCCGACTCCTAGAGACCAGTCTCCTGACACACACCCAAGCTCAGCCTGCCTCCTGGCTCCTTCAGTGGGTGGATCCATCCCTTGACACCCCAATCTGACTCTGTGGGTGGCTGCCAAATGTTGTCCAAATTGCCGTGCACGTGCCTCTAACGGCAGCACGTCTGCAGAGCGTGGCGCATCCTGGGCCTGGACTGGGCTTTTCTCCTGAGCAGGAGAAGCCCTGGCAGGGCTACTAGGAGAGGAATGGGATCTGGAGCTAAAACTAATTAGCCCCCAACCCAGCCCGGCGAGGGCAGGAGCTGGGAAGCCCGGCATGGGCATGCAAACCTGGGAAGCAGTGCTGTCTCTAGGACACTGGTCACAAAGGCCCCTGGGCTGGAAGCTCGGGCCAGCATCTGGGCACTGGGAGGGGGGAGGCCAGGCCAACTCCTCTGCATTAGGGAATGCAGGGAGGGGCAAGGGATTGCCTGCTCAGTCACAGTGGGACAGACAGGCCTGAACTACAAGCGGGCATGATGATAGGCCTCAAGGTAAAGAGCTGGGAGGTAGGGGTGACAGACTGGGCAGACTCCCCCACTCCTGGGCCCTGTGAATGGGTGGACAATTCACAGATGTGACTCCAAGAAATCTGCAGAACAGTGTGTGTTTTTTCCTGTGGCTGAGCTCAGATTTTCTCATGATATGAACGGACACAGTGCTTTACAGTCTGACTGCCCTGGGTCTGAATCCTGGTTCTGCCACTTAAATGTGCCTTTGGGCTGGAGACCAAGCCTCCCTGGGCCTCACCTTCCTCCTCCACAGCCAGTGCAGAGAATTGCTGCTGTGAGGACAACAAGAGCTCAGCCATGCGGAGCACGTGCCACCAGCTTTGTATCTGCTGACGAGCTCAGGAGACAGTTGCTATTCTTAGTCATACAGCGGGCACCTGAGGGTGGCTGATGGTCTGCATGCTAGAGCATCAAATACTGGAGGAGAGGAGCTCTTCCACGACCCTCACCTCCAGGGTGTTTCCCCCACTGACAGACCTGGGAGGCTTTCCTCCACTGAAGAAGAGAGGAGCATGGACCAGGAGGGATGTGGAGAAGGGTGAGGCAGACGCCCCATCGTCTGGACCTGTGCAGCCCTGCAGCCTGCACTGAGCATCTGTACCCCAAGGGGGTTAGAGGCTGATGAGACTGCCCCTAAGAGAACCTGTGGGACTCAGAGCCCAGCTAGCAAGTGTGGCAAGGGCTGGGGAGGATCCAGGGTCTCCTGCTTGTCTAAGGACTTCAGGAAGTCTATTCCTCTGAGGACGGGAGGCTCTGAGAGGACCCAGGGTCAGTCCCCTCTGGCGTGGATGTTGGCATCTGTGGGCAGGTATTAATGCTTCCCCAACAGTCTTCAAGGGCCCTGGCCTCGGGGGGATGGACAGGGAGCAAGGGGATGATGCTGCATGAGGACTAAGACTGCCAGACTGCCGGGTGGACACAGGGAGGACCCTCAGGAGATTCACAGAAATAACTAAAGCAGGGGTGGTGCTCTGAAACACCTAGTTTCCAGAATGAGGTGGTGATGGCTTAAGTGACCGTAATTTGATCAATAAAGTAAGTAATCTTATTTTGTAGCAACAGGCTGGTGACGTTGGGGACATCTGCGTGACATTATGAAATCATGCAAATGCACCTCTTTGGCTGAATGAGGTCCAGTCATTTATTCATTAATCAGTAATTTACTCAACCAGTTTTTCAACGACACATGTTCTGAGTATGTCATCTGTGCCAGGGCCTCTTCAAGGTGTTAGGGACACAGGCTTTAACTAGCCAGAAGAGAAGAGAAAAAGGACAAAATTCCTCCCGTGAGTGGCTAATGGCAGAGGCCTGGGACTAGCCATGGCTTCATCCTAAAAGCAAACAGCCCTGCTGGCAAATGTTGCCTGAATCAAAGGCACTTGCCTTAAAATTACATGGTCCAAGCTCTAAATTGATAAACTCCTTAAGAGCATGACAACTGAATCTAAAACTACAGCCTCTTTTAAACATTGATTAAACGGAACATGTGAAATATATTAGCATAGATATCATGTCATTATATGTATATTTATACGTATACACACATATGTAATCCTAATAAGATCTGATGTTCCAAATGGCCCGGTCTGCATGCTGAGTCACGTTCAGAGAAAACACAAACTGGCATAGATGCCTTAAATGGTGCCAACATTTATTGTGGTGACACTTATTGAGGACCTACTATGTGCCAGGCATTGTTCTGAGAGCTTTACATGTAAACATTCATCTCACCATCAGGAAAACCTGATAAGGCTGGTGCTGTTATTACCCCCATTTTACAGATGAGGAAATTAAGGCACAGAAAAATAGTCACCTGCCTGATGTCACAAAGCCAGTAAGGGGCAAAACCAAAATTTAAGCCCAGGAAACTGGATTTCCGAGTCTATGTTCTTATCCTTGCTGTCATATTGCCTAAACGGTCTGAGTAATGTACATCATCACTCTGGGATATTTTAAGGGGCAATCTAAGGGTCTTAAAATATCAGATCCCCAGAAACCCTCCCTAGACCCGTCCCCTCTCCATAAATTTCCACGTTCACAGAAGCGGCCCAGCACTGCCCTGCTCATCCCTGTGCTCCTCGCTCGCTGCTGTGCTCCGCTCCGCTTCCAAGGCCCCTTCTCTCCCACGGACCCCTTTGTCCCAGGCCCACCGCAAAGCTTTGCCAGAAGTGAGATCAGAACGTCCACTCCTGCCTTCACAGTGACCCCAGACCGCTTATGATGGCTGCAACACCAAGACCATGGGAAGCCCAGGATCCCGTGGAAGGAGGCCACAGAGGTCAACAGAAGTACAAGTTCTTGCCTTGTTCCTACCGCTTTTTTCAAAATTTATCCTGAAAAATTTCTCACGAACAAATTCTCTACTACATTACATATATGTGTGTGTTGTTTGTACACATGTGAATACATAACTATATATATGTACATATAATTTAAAAATATATGTTCTTAGGTGTGATAATGGCGTTGCGGTTGTGTTTTGTTAAAACTTCTTTATCTGTTAGGGATAAAACTAAAATATTTACAGATAAACTGTGCAGCATTGTGTTTGCCTTAAAATATGCCACATAAAAAAAAAGTCGAGGGCAAGGACTAGATGAAATTAGGCTGGAAAAGGCTAAAAATTATTGAAGCTGACTGAAGGAGAGGGATGAGATTCTATTTTCAGTATGACTGAAAATTTCTATAAAAAAGGGTTTTTTCTTCTAATGCTCAGAAGAATATAAGCAAGGAGAACTTGAAGAAATGAGAGAACAATTGGTCTGAATATGAGAGCTGTCTTCAATTTTTAAAAATTCATTTCAACCCACACTGATTATCCACACAATCCAGGTGTTGGATGAGCCCAGTGGCCACAGCAAGAGAGGTCCCTCTCTGCCCCAGAATTGATAAGAAAGGTGGGAAGGAGGGAGAAAACATTTGTGGGGACATCACAAGGAGGCCAGCTTATGCTTAACAGTCTTCAAGGGATTTTTCTGTGGCCAATGGGAGAAGCTGTGGGGAGACAGATGTGGGTTTAAATCCTGGGAAGTGTCTCCACCAGCGGGGCTGCCCAGAGGGAGCGTGAGCTGTCCTAGAGTTTGTGAGGACCCCTCCACCCCAAGTGAGCCCAGATAAGAGGAAACAACCACCTCTCAGGGATTTCTCAGGAACCACTGAGTAGAGGAAGGGGGCGGGATTACATCCTCATTCATATATCAAACGGTTGTCATGCTCAGCACTGAGACAGGACATGGGGCTGCAAAAATAGCCTGAAACTCACAGCCTCCTGGGTCTAGGTGAGAATCAGGGCTGTGCAGCTTTCTCTCTGCAAAAAAAAAGAACAGAGAGAGTCATATGATTTTATATAGATTCCAACCGTCGCTGGAGCGTAAGCCCTAGACTGCAGCCCATCTCCTGTTCCTCAGTGCTGATGGCACCAGGCTCTCAGGAGCTCCAATGGCAGCTCACAGGGACACAGATACCCACAAACAGAGGCTCATGTTACCCACCAGGCTCTCCTCGCCCTGAAGGGCAGCTCTTTGGAATATCAAGCTTACGCGATCTCATGGGGAGTTTGCTGTTAAGAGGAAGACTAACCCTTTCTGAACGATGGGAGACGCAAGAATACTGCAAAGCAGACATTTAGAGGAAACGAGGGGATTGGAATGTCTTTTGAGTGGTGCCTCTGCCACCTGCTCAATGGTGATGTTGGGCAAGTCATTGTCGCTTTCTGGGCTTCAGTTTCTTCACCTGTAAAAAGGGGTAGAATTCTACCATTCTCCAATAGGATAACTCAAGTGAAACATCTATGTGAATGTTACATGTAAACTTACAAATGTTATAGGACTATGTATATGGGAAGGGTAACATTGACTAATTTTCAGCCACCATGTATAATAAAACGATTAACTGGATAGGACCAAACTCCACTGGCATCAGCTCCATGAAGACAAGAATTCTGTCTCCTTGTTCACTGTGTCAAGTTCAGTGCCTGGAACACAGCAGGTGCTCAATAAATACTTGTTGAATAAATGGATCAAGCCAAGTTGAGCTGCCGTGGAGGGTTAGTTTAGGGGCTAGAGGCCCACACCATCCTCCCCCAGCCCAGGCTGTTCAGCCACTCTCTCCCTCTCTTCGTCTCCCTCAGCATCTCTGTGCTCCAGGTTGTCCTCACAGATAGCTGTGTGGTCCCTATAGGAGCCGTCCGCATGCTGTGGGGCTGCACGGGGACACCTGGGGGCTTTCCTGCGATGAAGACAGCAGTGCAGGCCCCACTCCCTGCAGCTGCAGGGGGCCTGGGCTGCCCAGACATAGGCACCCACAGGCAGTGCCAGCAGCACGGCACACAGGACCACAGTGATGTGCAGGAGGCGCTCCCGTTCCTCCAGCCCACTGCGGTCCCTGCCTGTCACAAAGACCACACACTGGCCCTGGCGTGGGGGCCGGCCCCCAAGGCTGAGGCACGCCTCGTATTTTGTGCCAGGGAGGAGGTCATCTATGGCATATGTGTTGATGCCGGGGCCAATGTGGACCACCTCCTTCCTGAGGGCTTCCTCCGACGCAACATAGAGGGTGAACCACTTCTCCTCAGGGGCGTTGGCCACCGCAAACCACTCCAGCAGGATCCCATGCACTGTCTGCTTGACGACACGCAGGTCAATGTAGGTGTCGCCCTCCAAGGGGGAGAAAGGAGAATGGGGGTCGGGCAGGGCCTGGGCGGGCAGAACGTGGAGGGAGATGTCAAGGGTGCTCCTGCCGATAGAGTTGGAGGCCACACAGGTGTAATTGCCTCTGTCTACCGGGTGGGCCGCGGGTATGACCAGCTCCGACAACGCAGCATCTTCGGCAGTAGACGAGGTCAGCACTGGGTGGAGAGAGAGCAGAATGGCTCTGATAGCATTTCTCTGAGAGATGGCTAGGGAGTGTCCAGCAAAGCTAGCTTTTTGTTAAAAGGTGCTGATAACCATTATTAAGCAAGGACTTGGCGCCAGCTGTTTGCCTCTCAGCACCGCTGCAAAGTAAATACCCAATTTCTACACACATAGGAGGTTGACGATTGGAGCAATGAAGCAACCTGCCCGTAGTGAGAGTTTTTCGCAGGCAGCGGCTGATCTGGAACCTTGTTCTGTCTCTGAATATCACACTCTTTCAACTTCACCAGCTGCTCCCACCAAACTGCCCTAGCTTTGCTCAGCTAACCAGGGTTTCCGGGAAATCTCTCACAAGTGTGTGATTGTGTGACATTGTGAGCTACAAGAAGTGCGCTTTTCCCTCTGGGATGTGGAGTAGCTCAGAGCCTGGAGTCAAATGCTTGGGTGTGATCCCTTCCTAGGTATATGCTCTTGGACAGGTTGCTTAAATTCTCTTGGCCTCAATGTCCTCATCAATAAAGTGGGATGAGAATAGGACTCACTCGTAAATTTGATAGTAAGTGCTCAGTGAGCGTTAGCTGTTACTATTACTGAGAGAACAGATATAACATGGTGCCAAAGAGACTGATTATAGAGCATCTCAAAAGACAACATCGGGATGCATGTCTGTGTTCTCAGAGAGGCCACAACAATAAACCCTACATTTCTCCTCCATTCGTATTTAATTTCAAGCCAATAAGATGAGATCAAAGTGATAGGAAAAAGTCAAAATTTCAGTTAATTAGGTATTTTTTAATCATCCAGAGGTCTGTCACCACGTATAACAAATATCTGGGTGACTGACTCTGTTTCTCAAGTTTTACTGAGATGTTTCCAGTTGTCTTTTAGACGGCTTCAAGAGACCCCAAGGGAGGCCACCCCTGGCCCTGTGATGTGCCCTAACCCTGCAGGTGGCACTAAAGGTGAGTCCAGCTGAGGTGTGAAAGCAGAGCACAGAGCTCGAGGGAATGAAGGCAGGTTTGAACCCCAGTTATGGGGCCCACGGAGGTCCCTTCTTCTCCCTGGGTCCCACTCTTACAACTTCAAGCCAATAAGGTCCGATCAACATGGTAGTGGAAAGTGTAAAACTCAGTCAATATCTAGGACTTCCCAACTTTGCCCAATGGTAAGAATTAGCTGGAAGATGGAGGATGGGGGGAGGAGGGAGTACCTGTTAAAATACACACTCTCAGGCCCTCCCCTGGGCTCAAGGAATCCAAATCTCCAGGGCAGAGGTCAGAAAATCTTGTTTCAAACAAGCACCATAGGTGACTCTGCTCAGGCAAGCTTGGGAAATAGGTGATGGATCATCCCTAGCATGGGTCCTCATCAGAAAGTCGGTGATTTACAAATACACAGTATAGGGTTTTGCATCTAGAAGGCTCTCAAAGAATATATTTGCTCATATACCATTTTATAATATTTATACAATATGTTAAGTTGACTCCAATATGTATTTACTTATCTATAGGATATATACATATCCTATAAAGATCTGTATGCAACCATTTAAAATAATGCCAGTAGGGGAACACTATCTTGAAAGCTTCCTTATTGTGGTGAGTATAATTCAGGCCTATCCCGATCTTACTTGTACCCCTCCTCCATGACGGACCCAGTTTACAACCTCTCTATTGAGGAGAGGGCTGCTACAGATCTCCCCATTCCCCCAGATGCATCGAGAGGCTGCATATGGCTTACCATCAAATTCCCTCCACATGCTCAGGGGATAAGTCCATGCAATGGTTGGTGAGGGACTGGCCTGTGCCAGGCATCGTAGGGTCACATTCTGTCCTGCCCAGATGGTGACATTGGCACTGGGGGTTGAGATCCGTGGCTTCATGCAATCACCGAGTTCAGTTTCATGAAAAAGCTGCCCCGCCTTGGAGAGAGGGGCTCGGCACATCAGATAGGGATTCACAAGGATGACTGGAAGGCTGACAGACTTTACAAACTGGACAAGTCCCCGTAGGCGACAGTCACATAGCCAGGGGTTGCTGTGCAGGGCCAGTACCATGCTGGGGGGAATTTTGGCCCCACAGCCAGGCTGCCGGCGTTTCTGGTAGGTCGGCCAGTTCGAGAAGACGCTCTTGGATACAACTGTAAGCCTATTGGAGGATAGGTCAAGGTAGGTCAGGTTGATCAAGAACTGAAGAGCCAGCTCAGGAAGTACTTCAATCCTGTTGTGTTTGAGATCCAAGACTCTCAGGAGCGGGGTGGCGCGGAACGCTGTCCACGGTACTGAACGGAGTTTGTTCCCCTCCAGTCTCAGCTCTTTGAGTTCTGACAGGCGCTCCAGGGCTCCCAGGTGGATCACAGTGACGTTGTTAAAATTGAGCCAAAGGTATTCCAAGGTGCTCATGTTGATGAAAGACCCTCGGGGCAGTTCAAATAAGGGTGAATTTTCAATTCTCACTCGCTTGAACTCGTCAGGAAGGTTCAGTGGGATCGCTCCCAAAGAGATGGACATGCACTGCAGAGTCCTGCACAAGAAACCGGAAAAGCTTTAAGATGAGCACCAGGGGACTGGGAAGTGCAATCAGGCATATCTTGGCATTAGACATATGAATTAGAAGAAAAATATATTATTCACTTGAAATAAAAGAGCCATTTTGGTAAAAGTGCACAGTTCACTGACGTTCAGTACCAGCTAGAATGAGCCTCGCAGAGATTTTGCTGATTTCCTGCCAAATCTAGGCCTACTCCCACTCCACATCACTCCCAAAGAAAGCCCATCCCCTACAACATTCTGGCATCTTGCTAGCACAGCGCACCTGCCAAAACTCTCATGGGAGCAGGTACATCCTGGCAGACAGACTGGCTGAGCAGTATGTGAATCCAGAAAGGCTAGAACTAATAGGAAATAGTGAGAAACCGAAGCCATATTCGTCTGTAAGAAAAATACCTTGCAAGTTTTGATAAGCATAGTCCAAGATTCCGAGCGGCAAATCCTATTATTGGTAATCCATGGTGATGTAGGTCAGCACAGCAATGGCAAAGCCCCTGGCACTCTGAGGTCTGCCATGGCCCAGAGTGAAAGCTCAGTAAAAACCCATGAAAAGGGAGCTATATCTCTTAACTAAGGTCAGAAAATTCACCATTCGTCTGGTTCTTGAACCCAGAAAGCAAATTCTAAGCCAGATGTCAGATTCAGATACTGAATTTAGATGCTGCCAAACACTGCCTTCCCTTAGTCTCTTAGCAAGTCATGCTATTCTGAGCACCAAGGTTCAGGTGATTCAGCCAGAATCTACCTAACACTTCATGAATCACAACTAGCTCCTGAAACCTAGAATTTTCAACCATTCCCTAAAAAGCGAATGCAAGATGGCGGGTAACAAAGTAATTCTGGGATCATTCCTATCATTAGTCCTTGCCCCAACACCTTGTGGTGGATTCGTGCCTCTACCACATCAAGACAGCTGCATTGGCTACTTGGATGATCAGTCAGAGAAGCCTCACTGTTCAGGGGTTAAACCACAAGACTGTATTTCCTGATTAAACCAGAGCATGTTCTTATCCTCAATCTCACAGCTTTTCCTAAATGCTGTGTATTTCACATGATAAAAATGAAAGCCTTACATTTTAAAGTGAGACATATGTGATTTGGGACACTTGCTCTGCCACTCTTGATTCATTCAACAAATATTTATTGGTCATCTGCTCTAAGCCACACTCTTGCTGGGTGTAAGAAATATAGCAGTGTTACAGCCCCTGTCACACTGAGGTCTTCTCTCCAGCTTGTGCATCCTAGTCTTGAGGTCTTTGGAAAATCATTCAACCTCTATGAGTCTCAGTTTCTCCTCTGCAAAGTGAGGATATTAGTAAATACTTCATAGTGTTTTTAGAAAATGTTAAGATTATGTAAAATAAAGTATTTAACATACAGTAGGTGCCCAGTAAATTTTAATTTACCTCTCACACCAACAGACTCTTGAGGAGCAGCAAAGCCTTCTTCTCCATTACTTGGGGTACTTCTTGGTGCATTTTAAGCTTCCATGGGTTCCCCTAAGACTAGTAATATACATTATACTCTACAAAAGGCTTCAGGGAAGAAAATCCGCTTAGTAGCTAACCAGTGAGGGGAGAAATGGGTCACTAACTAAGCTGATTACCCTCCAGCTTTCCATCCAAGCCAGATATATTTGCTGGAGTTTCCATTCTGGCTAGTTCTCTGGAGTTCCTTTCAAAGTAAAAATCAAAACAAGGAGAGCGCTATGAGCACAAAGCTTGTGGTAGACGTGGAGATGTGCTGCCTAGACTCCCTTCAAGGAATGAGTTGATGCTCAGCTGCAAGGAGTGCTTGCACAAGGTTATGCCCTTCCGAAGGCAGCCCATATGCAGCGACTGAGGGTGGTGATGTCACAAGGGCCCAGCCGGTTTGGCCTGATGGAGGACAACTCTGATGGGTCATGCTCATTTCAGAGTCCCCTACCAAGGTTGGCCAAGATTTTGTCAGCCTTGCTTCGTGGAAAAATGTGATTTAATCCATGGGTATCACAAAGCCACTAGGAGATTCTTTTCTTACCCCACAATATAAGGGTCTAAAGAGACCTCCATCCCCCACAATTTCCTTTCTGGTCATCTCATTCTCTTCAAATGAATCCAGCTCAACTCCACCTTCCAGTAGTTTGCTGGAAGCTTGAGAAGAACACCCACTGGCATGTCATCTCTGGAATCACCCAGGTCACCTCTGCCCTGCCCCTTCATCCTCTGGTTTCTTTATTTGGTGTATGGGCATAGGGAGTATCTATGTTGTCAGTTAAGGCAGGAGACTAGGACAATTAAAGTTAGCTTGGATCCTATAATTTATCTTAAATAGCTAGTGGTTAAGTGGTGTTCCCAAACTCAAGAGATTTAACAACAGAGGGAAGGGGACTGAGAATATGACATCTCTTCCTGCAAGATGCTTTTAGGAACTTTGCTCTGAGAGTTATTGGTAGAGACAGTCATAGGAGAAGAGTTACTCTGTGTTTATGAAATAATTAGACATAAATGGCTTCTGGGTGGCAGCTCCCTGGCTTGTCTTAACAGAATCTTAACCAGAGAGTTTCATATCTATTCAAATGGAAAATGCCACCCCAATATTAGCAAAACTTTGGGGTCGCTCAGAGGACTATCAAGAAGGCGAGCTACCAAGAAGTAGATATGCTGTCCTTCCTCTTTCTCAAACTGGTGCTCTCCTCTCACTCCTCCATCTGCTGCCAACCATGTCTGAGATGGTCCTTTTAGCTTCCCATGCTCTGTGGCATGCCTGTGATAGACACACACATGACTACAGCCTCAAGCCCCCTTGAAACAGGTGGGCTATGTAACTGATATTCTGGCTAATGAAACGTTAGAGGAAATAATGTTTTAAAAGCCCCTACATGATTCTCCAGCTTCTCTTTTCCCTTGTTGCAGCAACCGTCGACATTCCAGGTGGCGGAGTCTTCATCAGCGTGGATCCCTGAGGGAATAAGTGAGCAGAGCCCTCCCTCCATCCACATTTCCCACTGACTCAAGTAGACTCTGGGAAAGCAGGAATAAATTTTGCTATGTTAAGCCACTGAAATTTGGGAGTTGCTGGAACAGCACAAGCCCAACGTGGCATAACCACAATGCCCTTGCAATCAAATAAAATATGCTCAATTACTTGTAAGTTGATTTTTGTCTCTACTGGATTAGATGACAATTAAAACAAAAATGTCCAGCTCTAGTCCACTAAACACATTGGTCGCTGAGTCCCTTGATTGATAGCCTAGTTTTAATAGCCCACATCCACTTTCCAGGATAGAATTCTTGTTATTTGCCCTTTTTGCACCCTGCAACTTAGACGTGCAACTACAGGTAAGTGACACCCGACATACCCTCTGCTTAGGTCAAAGAAATATGACCACATTGAAGTCAGAAAAAACATGATGGAGATGCCATGGTTTCAACCAACCCCAAAACAAGGCTTCCAAGGGCAGAATACTGTGGGATTATCATAGTACAGGCTGGTCCTCAGCATTGAGAGGGCAGAAATTCTTTTCCCAGGACTCTAAGAAGACATTAGGTTTTCCGCAACTGACTCATACTAACCAGAATCATATACCAAAAGACTAATATATAAACATCATTTTATTTTTTACAATGGGAATTTGTTTTTTCTAGTGACTTGAATATTCATGAGCACAATCTGGGGTGATTCTTCTCTATAAGAGCAAACCAATGAAGACAGAACACACAAAGGAAGGCTGATAGATGGGTATTGAGAAGTTGACCATCTTGGGGGTCACTCCTTCCAGACCACCAAGGTAGGTCTTAATGAATCATTGGAAAGTTTGTATCTTTTCTCTCACTCTCTCTCTCTCTTTTAGACACACACACACACAATATTGGATAAATAATAACAAATTCTTGCTTTCAAGTTCTTGAGTTTTCTTCAAACAAGAATCAATAAAACTGACTGCATGTTAGCTATCTTTGGGCTAATAATTCTTCAGTCTTCATCAGCTCAGCCAATCATTTAGAGAGAACCTCTTTATCATTTCAACAGAAGGCTGCCTTCATCCGTTGCACTTCCATTTGTTCTGATTTTCGGAATGCCTGTCAACCTCTATATCAAAAACTCAGAACTGAATCTTGAGTCTCCCAAGACACAGCAGAAATGCCTTCATAAATCTAGATCAGGAGTTGGCGAACTGCAGCCTGGGAGCCAACTCCAGCCTGCCCCCTGTTTTTGCAAATAACATTCTACTGGAACACATCCACACTCATTAACTTACATATTGCCTATGGCTGCTTTCATACGACATCAGCAGAGTTGAGCAGTAGAGACAGACCCTAAAATATTTACTCTCTGGCTTTCCTTAAAGAAAAAATTGCCTACTCATGATTCAGACATTGGTTTTGTCATCTTCCAACCAAATAACTTCTCTTACCAATGGCCATGGCCCACACATTATAGTCAGGTGCACCCTCCAGATGATGCGTAGAAAATATCCACATGTGGAAATTCCATGCTCGTGTGCACTGGTGCTCACGTGGTTCTGATCCCAGGTTTTGGTTGCTTGAAAAAATCCGTTTCTGTAGTGAACCTGCTGTGGATTGCATTGCGGAGATCAACACAGAACAAAGAATTTCAGCCTGGCCAGAAAGTTACCACGGACCTGGATCCCCCAAGAAAATCCATCACTACTCTCTCTAAGTTAATCAACTCTTTCGGCTTCAGTTTTCTCATCTGTAAAATCAAGTAGCCCAGCCCCCATAACAGGATGTCAAGAGGATCAAACAAGAGAAAACAGGAAAATGTGTTGTAAGGTCCTAGGTTGTAAGGTCTTTTGTAAATACAAGGGGGAGTACAGTAACTTTAGAAATCACTGCCTGTTGCTGGCTTATCCAGCAAATATTCAATGCAACACCGAGTCACTTAGGTGATACGAGCGAAATTGTTTCGTTGCATCACTTGACGTTCCTCAGTTTCCTCAGTTGTTACTCAAAGGCCTTGGCACCAAAGGCCCTGGATGCTGCCTGCATTAGAGCTCAGTCCTGCAGACAAGACACACAACATCCGCCCTTCTGCTAGGAAAGTTTGCCTTCTCCTGTGCACAGAGACACCATCTCAGAGGTTTCCAAGCTTTCAGCAAACTGAATAGGAACCCTCCTTTGAAGTGGCTTACTGAGTGACGGGAAGGCTCTGAGACATCCTCAGGAACCAGGTAAGCATCCTAAGAATCACAAAGGCTGCTCCATGGGGAAAGAGGTGAGCAGTGTGCCAGACAGCATTGGGTATACTGTGCCCCCCGCCACGGAGGGTCTCTCAGATCCCTCCAGCCTGATATTCTGAGAGTAAATGAGCAGTAGTCTCTTGGGGATCATCCAAACCTCTAGAGTTTATTGAAAATCAAATGATTATCTCTA